CAAAATGGAAACCAAAAAAGCGTGAAAGCTATTAAAACAGATGGTAAAAGGTATGTACTTTTACACAATTTGCACTATAAAATTTAAAACTAATATATTTTAGATACATTATATTACATGCTGGAAATGAAAATGGGTTTATTGAGGGTAGTGAAGCGATATTTTCTTCGAAAACAAAATTGAGCGATTACCATGGAGAGATGAACCAGGACAATTTTTTGAAATGGTTTCAACATCAGTTATTAGAAAAATTGGAGAGTCCATCTATGATTATACTGGATAACGCCCCTTATCACAGCATGATATTGAACAAAGTGCCCAACAATGCATGGACAAAAAAAATATCCAAGACTGGTTGACAAATCAAAACATACCATTTTCAAACACAATGTTTAAAACAGAGCTATTGAGTATTGTTGCTCGGTACATAATGCTTCTTAATTATATATATTTTGGTCGACAGTTTATATTTCTTTTGTTTATTCCTATTCTTAAAATAACTGCTTTTTTAGAAACAAACCACCTAAAATATACGTGATTGATGAACCATTGTATATTTAACCCTATTGAGTTAATTTGGGGCATAGCAAAAGGTTACTATAACAGACATATTGGTAGAGATGGTAACAGTGAAAAAGACTGTTTGGATATGTGGAACGAGGCTCTACAAACGGTTACCCCAGACATGTGGAAAAATAGTGTTCGACATACTGAGCAAGAAATTTTTAAATGGTATGAAAGAGAACGAATTTTTGATCGACCAGACATCGAACCTTTAATAATCAACTTTGAGAGTGATGAAGATTCAGATTCAGACAGCGCTAAAGAAAGAAACTCCGACTAACTTTATTGTACAGAAAAGCTTACACCAGTAGCTTACCTAATTTTAGAATGCATTTTTCTGTATGAATTCTGTAAAATAAATACCATGCATAAAATTTGGAGGACCCCATTTGGATTTTTATTCAGCACCTTTAAGCTATCAATTAAATATGGTAGTTTCATAGTGTCATCTGATCAATAATTGTCATACTTAATGATTATGCAAGTACAGATCTATAATTTTATTATACTATTATTTTTGTTCTCATTTGAGGTTAATATTGCTTATAAACCTAGATATGTAATTAATAAATTTTATTATTTTACAAAAAGTTTGGCAACAATGTAAATTTTTCAACACACCCACCTTGATGACGTGCACGCCACTTTGTTTGGCGTTGACTATATTACTACTAGGAAATTTTTTTGGGAAACTTTTTATTCGTCTGAGACGAATGAGAAATTGCGTTTTTCTTAAATTCAATCGAAAGTGTTGTCAGAAACTAAAAAACTCTCAAAATAAGATTTATAAGACCTACAGAATGAGACCACACGCAAAAAGATCCGACTTATAGTAAAAAAGTTATGCACGAGAACAGTGCATGTTATGATTCTTGTTGCTAATACGTCGATAATTTCTTAACATTTTCTGTCTCTGTCTTTTACTTAATATCCTCAGTTCTGAACCATATGTAAGGGTAGGATATACAGTGAGTTGAGCATTCCAATTTTTGTTTTTGTAGATATTTCTTTTTTGTTAAATAGGTGTTTATGTAGTTGGAAGTATACACTTGTAGTTGCTTTTATTCTATCTTCTATTTCTGCCTCAACCTTTCCATCCTCTGTGACCATTATTCCTTAATATTCAAACTGAGTTATTCGTTGTACTGATTGTTGTTCTAGTCGGATTTCTATGTTTTGTGGGTCTTTAGAAATACTTATACATATTGTTTTGTTCATATTTAGTTTCAGTTTGTCTTTTCTGATTTCCTCATTCGATACATCATGTTGAAGGTCTTCTGTTTTGTTTGCTAACAGTACTCGGTCATCAGTTGTAAATTTTCCAGCTGTTTTATTTTTTGTTCTTCCATAGTTGTAGGTATTCTTATATTGACTTTGCATGTTTTCTATTAGATTTTTGTCCACATTATATGGGGTTGTCCAAAACGGACGCAGGAAAGTAAACGCATATTAAAACAAGAAAGATTGATATTCAAATCAAGTTGGGTACTTTATTTTGAAGGTTCATTTATACCATTTATGTATAAAAAATAATATCGCTCAAATGATCACCACGACTGGATTTAAAGACGTCCACGCGATGGTCGAAATTTTCAATGACATTTTGCAACATGGTCGGTTCTATGGCATTTATCTCGGCAATGATGTTGTTTTTGAGTTCTTGGAGGGTGGCTGGTTTGTTGACGTCGACTTTGCTTTTCAAATATCCCGATAAAAAGAAGTCCAAGGGAGTCAAATCGCACGATCTTGGTGGCCATGGCACATTTCCTCTGCGCGAAATCACGCGATCACCGAAGAAGGACTGCAATCGATGGATATTGACGTTGGTTGTGTGGCATGTTGCACCGTCTTGTTGGAAATAAACATCGTCCATTTCCTTTCTTTCAAGTTGCGGCAAAAGATAGTCCTCTATCATCGCGTGATATCTCTCAGAATTGACGGTAACGGCGTCCCCTGCCGCATTTTCGAAAAAGTAAGGTCCGATGATGCCTTTTGACCACAATGCACACCACACAGTCACTTTTTGAGGATGCATCGGCTGCTCTTGATACTCGCGGGGATTTTCGTTCGCCCAGATGCGGCAGTTTTTCTTGTTTACCGTCCCATTCAAAGTGAAATGCGCTTCGTCGCTGAACATGATTTTTGATGAAAAATTGGCATCAATTTGGCGGTGTTCAAGGAGCCAATCTGAGAACGTTCGGCGCGAAAAATGGTTGGCCCGACGCAGCTCTTGCGTCAATTGGATCTTGTAGGCGTGTACATTCAAATCCTTGTGGAGAATGCGGAGCAAACTGGTTCTCGAAATGCTCAATTCTTGAGATCGACGCGTTGTTGATTGTTTCGGATCGTCTCTCACACTCTCCTTCACAACAGCAATATTTTCCGGTGTGCGAACGCTCCTTGGCCGGCCAGAGCCTGGCAGATTTGCCACAGAACCTGTTGCCTCGAATTTACGCATCAGACGACCGATGGTTGTTTCGTTTGGGTGGTTGTTGCGACCGAAATGTTCACGAAGCGCGCGAACCGTGTTTTTTATTTTTACACCTTTTTGTAGTGCTCTTGAATAACTTTAATGCGGTCTTCAATCGAGTACGACTCCATAGCGATCAATGGCAAACATTCAACTAACAAAATGACATGTCGGTGACAGGAAACAAAGATGGCGTCTACGTCAAATTGACGTTTACTTTCCTGCGTCCCTATTGGACAACCCTTTAGTTGTTCAATATACCCCAGAGGTCCATTCTATCCACTGAATCTATGTTGCACATATACAGGGTGTCCGCAAAGTTAGGGTTTTCCTTTTCAGAAACAACTACCCTTGAAATAACAAAGGTAATGTGTAGTGAAACGAGGGCGACCAAGTAAAAAAAAATAAAGGAAAAGTAATCACTCTCCAGTTGACGAGAAGGGCTAAGTACGTCTCTGTCCGAAATCATACCGCTCCAACAGAAAATGAAATCAGCTGATGCGCTACCGAGCAGACGCAGGCAAACAAGGAAGGCAAAATGTTGCGTAAAAAGTCTAGGTCTAGGTTCACCATGCCAGCCCAAACATTCACCGAAAATGTTTGTTGAAAATGTGCCCGACGGACAGCGTGCGGATTTTCTACTGACCAAACATGAATGTTGCGAAAGTTATTCACCCCATTACGCGTGAACGTAGATTCGTCTGTCACCAATATGCACTTCAAAAAGTCCGGATTATTGTCATGTTGATGCAACAACCACTCACAAAACCGCACTCTTGCTGGAAAATCGTCAGGTTGAAGGGATTGTACACGTTGGACGTGAGCCCCTCTTCACGCAGCGTTTGCTACACTTTAGTTTTTGATACTTGCACTTCTCTAGCCACGTCTCTAGTGCTTGTTGAGGGATTCACGAATACGCGATTACCTCTACACGCGTGACCGTAACCGTCGGTTGAAGCTTGCATACTGACCTGAAACACTGACCCCTACCCAGTTCTGTCGTCGGGTTGAGCTAGTGTCCTAGTACCAGTCGGGGATGTCGCGGCTACAGGACGGTATTCAGATATTTTTGATGTTGCAGAGCCCTTTATCTCGGTTCCCTTGAGACATTGGTGTATATGGTACTAAGAAAAATTGCTTATGTTTTCAAGATCTACACGTCGTGTAAAGGAAAACCCCAACTTTGCGGACACCCTGCATATTGTTTCGTTATTATCTACTACTCTTTCTGAGTTGTTTTATTATGAATATTGCATCCGTTGTTCCTCTGCCTTCCCTGAATCCATGTTGTGCTTAGTCCAGGCTGTGCTATATTTCCCACTCTAGTTTTTCGGTTAGTACGCTCTCATAAACTTTTTCGGGCATACTTAATAGAGTGATTTCTCTCTAGTTCACATACCTCTGTATATCCCTTTTTAAATAGTGGTAGTATCACTGAGAACTCCCAGTCTTTCGATATCTCTACCGTTATTCCACATACCTCTTCTGCGCTACTCAATATACATGTTTTAGCTTGTGGATACTAAAATAATTTCCATCTTTTAGGTGATGTTCAAGCTTGTTATCTAAAAGGTTTTTGAATCTTGCTTGTGCATGATATTCCCTTAGTTCGTGCGTTTTAATTTTGCGCTGGACTTCTTTTCGGTGTTTCCTGTACTCCTTCCTTGCACGATAAATATTTTTGTTTCTAGGAGATAATGGTGACTTCTTATTACAAAACCTCTTTTGACACTTGTATCTTTGATTTTTGACATCAGTGACAGACTTTTCATTTCTACTTGTGAGTACCCGAGTATATCTCTGCGATTTTGGTGTTACTTGTTATCAACTCATAATAGAAATTACATAAGAGTTATTAACGTGGATTTTTTCCACGATTAATCCAAAATAAGCGCATCGTCTTATCAGTTTTGTCTACAAAAGATACATATCTGTTTAAGCCATGATTAAAGGAAAAGGTAAAGACGGATATAAAAGAGCTACGTTGCTAGAGCCAGCCCGCCAGTTCGTTTAGAAGGGCAAAATGGTACAGTCCAGGTTTAGCTTGCTTGTTCTCCTGACATTCTTGTGCATTGCAAGTAAGTACCAAACAACTACGTTCCTCTGATTTAAAGATAAACACATTTTAATAATAATAATAATATTTATTCGCCAAAATACAAGAAATGGGCAAATAAATATGAAAAAACCACAGAAGGCATCGCCTGTTTGTGGTTTATATCTTAATAACTAACAATCAGTCAAATATGTGTATAACAATTATTGTTAAATCTAAAAGGTATTAATGTAATTGGAATTTTGTAGTTTTAGTTTTCTATATAATTATGTTATGTATAGTCATTCGCTGCACATTACTAACCCAGTCTTTCAATTTTCTTCTAATTTTTTTTCCAAAATTAAGTATCTTTATTTCGTTTGGTACTACATTATATAATTTAGCTGCTAAGAATTTAAATGATTTTTTGAATAATGTTTTGTGTGGTCTTTGGATATTAGATGACCCTATTCGAAATCATGTGTTATGCTCGTGTTTATAGGATTTTTTCTTTTTATTACAATTCTTATATATAATCTTGGCTTATGGAAAATGGCTTTCAAAACAGTTCTTTGTGCTATATTCAGGTCAGAAATATATGTCTTGCAGGCAGCACCCCAGGCTGTGATGCCGTATATTATATGGGTTTCAACTAAGGCATGGTATATGATTCGCAGATAACTTTCTGTAAGAATGTTAGCAAGCATTTTGGGTTTATAGGCAACATTTCTAATTTTTTTGATATCATATTTAATATGGTTATCCCACCTTAGATGTGAGTCTATAAATATTCCAAAATATTTCAAAGTGTTAACTCTATCGATTTTGGTCTTTTGGCCATGATAATTAACGGAAATTTGTTCGAAGGTAGGTAAAAATTTTGAATAGGATGTAAATGCAATAAATTATGTTTTTTTGAAGTAAACTGTTAAAATTTTAGTATCAAACCAGTCAATGATCCTTATAAAATCCTTTTCAGCTATTTGCTTCAGTGTGCTCCAGTCATCAGCTTTATTTAATACGAGGGTGTCATCTGCAAAACATAATTATAATCTTTCCAGAACTGTTAATTTTGAATAAGTCATTTAAGTAGAGACAAAATAGTATTATAATATTAGTTAACGCGTACTAATCAAACAAGTTATAGTTTAAGAACTATCAATACACATGATGTTTTTGATGCTATTTATAAACCACATTGTAAAACTTTTATAGCACCTGTGTAGATAATAACAAATTTTTGAGTTTACTCGTACTAACAATACACTTCCTGAGCAGCAGTTCGGCTTCGAAAAGTTCGTAGCACTGTTTCTGCCCTGTCAGCAAAAACTATGCGAACAATGCGTTGCAGGCAAAATCTGACGATTGAAGTTGTTAACCCAACATACGTTTCTTTTTGTTTCTAGGATCACAAGACTTCACGGCCCAGCTGCTAAAGCCCGGCCATGAATGCGTAAGGGAATGCAAGGAAGGCGAGTCTCCAATGTTTTGTCACTACAAGTTCACTGTAGAGCTATACCAAACTTTGGGAGCGTAAGTTTTATGTGCAATACAAGACGTTACCGAACTTAATCTCCAACCTAATGGGAGAACATACTTGTACATATTAAGTAAATACATCGGTATGATACTAGAAACAATCTCCACAAAATTTTAATAGCCGATCAAAATCGTCTTCATTAAGCCCTTGTACCAGGTGAATTTTATACGGATGAAAACTATGGGCCTTTAGAGTTCGTTGGACAGTACGTCGACTAACACCACACACAGTCTCCAATTTGCGGGTACTTACCGTAGGATCTACATAAACTTGCCCTAAAACCCCCACTTCTATTGCTTCGTTCCTTATGGGATTTTCAATGTTGCGTTTTTTATTGGCGACTGACCCAGTTTACCGAAATTTAGCTATAAGTTCTAGAACATATTTTCGATGCACGTTACTGTTCTCATGTCGCTCATAAAATATTTCTGCTGTTCTATTAGCGCACTGATTATTTCCGAAAACTATTTCGATAATTTCAACTCTTTCTGCTATGGAATAATGGTTAATTTATGTAATAAAGCGTTACATGTTGTTTTAGCAACAAAGTTTGGTCAAATCAATCGCAAACTTTGTACTAAATTCCTATTTAAAATAAGTACGAGATATTTCCTTATCTTTCTTCAAGAAATAACTGTTTTGCCACCAAAAACGCTCCAATAGCTATTTTCAACAATAAAATGATAAACAAACTATGATCGTAGTGAAGAAAAGCATTTACTTTTTCTGAAAGTAGTACAAATTAATCTGGTGTACCTATTAAAGTCTACTTTAAGCTTTAAATCAATAAGTCTTCAAAACTACTGAACTGAAGTACATTAATTTTATACTATTATAAAGGGAATTGAAAGACCTTTAAAATATGGTATCACTCGACCCCCCTTTCCATTTAAGATTATGGGGGTGGTGTCACCCCCGCTTAGGGGGCTGCACGTGCTAACGTGATTTTTTGCCAAACTTGTGATGCCCTCGAAAACAAAATCGACGGGTCTGAGCATTTTTCCAAAAAAAAAAACTGAGCTGCCAGTAAATGCGTCTGTTTCGTTTTCGATGCGCCACCCTGTATAATATATGTACAGAACACCATCGGCTATAAACAAGCCGAAACGGCACCAACTTTTATGGAATCAAGTTCTTTAATAAGTTACTGCTTGTTGTAAAATCAATGGTTTTAGCATTTTCGCCTTAAAAAAGCTTTTTTCTCGTTGGAGGAATTTACGCATAATGATATAAATGTTTGCATGCAAATTTTATCATATCTATCTTTATTAACCTGTATTTCTTACAAATCTAATCTGTGTAAGTACCGTAGTGTATAAACACCAATAAATTATTATTTTCATGTGGAACGATCGACGAAATATGGCTTGATAAATTATTAAAAAGAAGAAGACCAGGACCAAATATACTAAGTGACATATAAATCCGAACACCCAGTTTAAATGGTTTTATTTTAATAAAATTTTTTATAAGTACTTAGTGAAGCATAATAAGTAAATGATAAAAATTTCAAAATGATTGCACTGCTTTAAAGCCCTTTGACATTTAATAATGTGTGGATGCACCCTGATGTGCTACGCATTCTCCAACGCGCCTAGGCATGCTTCTGATCAGGTGGTCAATGTCCTCCTGTGGCATCTCATTCCAGGCAACCACCAACTCCTCTCGAAGTGCTTCTAGAGTCTGAGGAGGACATTGCAAATTGAGCAATCTCCTACCCATCATATCCCACACGTGCTCAGTTGGGGATAAGTCGGGAGATCTTGGTGGCCATGGTAACAATGTGACATCATTATGTTGAAAGAAGTCTATTACGACTCTTGCAAAATGTGGTCGGGCATTATCTTGTTGGAAAGTTGGATCTGCCAGGGTGTCAAGATAGGGTAAAAGATGGGGTTCTAAAACTTCGTGGATATAACGCTGCGCGTTCATGTTACCTCTGATGAAGATTAAATGTGACCTGGAACCATAAGCTATAGCACCCCAAACCATAACTCCAACAGTGTGATGAACATGTTTTTCAACAAAAAACTGTGGATGCCTCCTTTCACCACGTCGCCTTCTAACCCTGGCACGACCATCGTGCATGCCTAAACAAAATCGAGACTCGTCACTAAAGACAATACTGTTCCATTCCTGATCCCAGAGTGACCGTTGTCTGCACCACTCAAGGCGATTACGTCGGTGTTCTCGAGTTAAAGGGAGGACCCAGTGTGGCCGGTATGAAAACAAGCCAAAACTTCTCATTCGTCGGTAAACACTTCGCATGCCAATAGGTCTTCCGTGTTCTGCAAACCATTCATTTGCAATGGAGCTGGTAGTGGAGAAACTGTCCCTTAAGGCCAATAATCTTAGGCGGCGATCTTCACGGTCTGTTGTTCTACGGCGGCGTCCAGTGCCCCTTGCTCTTTGCGTACGGCCTTCTCGAAGCCATGCCTGACAACACCTAACCACAGTGTCTACACTTCTTTGCACTCTAACTGCAATTGCCCGAAAAGAAAGTCCAGCTTCCCGAAGTCCCACTATACGGCCCCCTATCAAACTCACTAAGTTGACGAAATCGTACAGGTCTCCGTACTCTAGGCATCGTAACCGATCGTAAAGGATGCCAAGAACCAAAATCCGCCAACGTTGATTCTTTACTGCGGCTGAAATATTCATTTTTAGAGGGTTAGTGAATTAAAAAAAAGCAGTATAAAAACCGGAATGTCCAACTGATAAGGCTGAACGTTTTTTCACTTGTTATTTACAGTAAGATAAATACATTCACCAACTTTTCTTAAAATAAAACCATTTAAACTGGGTGTTCGGATTTATATGTCACTTAGTATATGTGCCGAAGTCTTAGAGATGATCGCGTAAAAACCTTTGGGGCAGGTTGGCGTCTGTTAGGATACTGTTACTACGTTGATATTCCCGAAAAGCCGCTAAAGCATTTCCATTACAGAACCCGTACACAAAAATAATATCGGCATACCCATCATTGCTAAAATGTTTGAATCTATAAAATATTTTTCTGCATTTTTCTGTTGAGCATATCCCTGCTAGTGATCGGATGCATCCTTTTTGAGACACAAATACATCTTCAGAGCGCGTTGACCAACACCAGAAACATACCCCATATCTGAATATTGAATCCGCATTATCAAAATGAACTTGTAACAGTTGTTCAGTTGTTAGTATAGCTGTTAATTGTCTCAGCACATAGCTTTTAGAGTTTATCTTTGGTATAAGAAATTCGCAGTGGACCTTCCAATTTAAGTTCGAATCAAAATGAAGTCAAGTTTATCGTCACCCAATCTAACTTGCAACTCTTCTACAGTTTTTTGTGCATGACGAAAATGAGTCAGCGTTGTTTTTGGATGGATTCAAGTATAGTGAATACTGGTTAAACCATGTATTGATTTTCCCTATTAAGTCATTACATTTATTTCCCAAAATCATATCCGAATTACTTGAGGTTATGGTAGAAACGTCATCAGCATATGCTATAAAGTGAGTATTATCATGTGGAAGGAAAAAGATTAGGCCAAGGCTAGAACCCTCAGGGACCGTAATGTCTTGTGCACCTGACAAAATCATGTTGTTCTCTGCATTAAGATGTTGGTTAAATAATGATGATGATGATGTAAAGAAAACTTTGAGCTTAAACTGCGACTGTATCTTAAATCCGGTGGCCTCCTACTATCATGTTGTAAATGTAGAAACGTGTTTGGAATGGCTATTGTCGATACACGAAATGCTTGTCTCAAAAGTAAAATTTGTGGAACATGTAAGGATCTTGGGATCAAGTCGAAACTCAGCGACATATATTTTCAAATGCCCATTAATTGTTAGAAAATTTATCAAATCACTTCTGCATTATCAAGAAAACAATGCACACCCTATATAAACTAAGGCGAGTTGATATTATTCCCCCCAAAACAGTGGACACATTTTTGTAGGTTAGGTAGCTTCAGTCTCATTGCAATCAACTTCAACACTTTAAATTAGCTTCAGTTGGAATCAGTTTCCATAATCATACTTTAGCAACTAAAATCAACTGGCTATTTAAGTATTGTTATACAGGGTGTCCCAGAAGTCGACATCAAAAATTACTCGTTAACTTATGCACAATTTTTAGTAGAATTAGAATCTTGCACAAAAAACGTGCTCCATCCATACCACGTACAGCGTGTTCAAGCTCTTCTGCCCCGGGATTATGAGCCCCGAGTTGCTTTTTGTCGCACAATGTTAGAAAGACACAGGGAAGATCCACGGTTCTTTGAAAAAATTGTATGGTCAGATGAGACCACATTTAAGAAAGATGGGTACATGAACCTGCATAACTTACACGAGTGGCACGTAGCAAACCCACATTTGATGAGAGAAGATAAATCTCAATATCGCTTCAAGATAAACCATTGGACAGGAATTTTAAATGGTAAAATAATCGGTCCGTTTGAGTTCCCAGAGACTTTGATTGCTGAGGTTTATTTAGGTTTTTTTGCAAAATCATTTAGAAAATTTATTGGAGGACGTACCACTGAGTATTTACAGGGACATGTGGTTTCAGCATGATGGCTGCCCAGCGCACTATGCACTCTCAGTGAGAGAGTATCTCGATCAAAACTTTCCAGGCAGATGGATAGGGCGGTCTGGTACAATACCGTGGCCAGCCCGGTCACCAGATTTGAATCCGTTAGATTTTTTTTACTGGGGAACTGTAAAAGAAAAAGTGTATTTCAAGCCGATTCAAAATGTAGCTGAGCTACGGCAAAGACTATTGGAAGCAGCTGAGTTTATTAATAACCGTGGATTCGCTCGTTTAATAACCTGATGTTTTTTAAGAAGATGTCGAGCTTGTATTGCGGCTGAAGTAAAACAGTTTGAGCATTTGCTGTAAAGGTAAATCATCATCAGCAGCATTTTGACGCCCACTGTTGTGCAAACAGTTATCCTTAAGGGTCCTTGTGCGTTTTCATAATCGCTGTTTAATTAGGAAATTTTGAAAAATGTTCATCAGTTTTTTTTCAAATAAAAATTGTGCATAAGTTAACGAGTAATCTTCTAAGTGTTATACCATTTTGGAATCGTTATTAAATGCGCCAACTTTTAAGGTTACTTGCCAAACTCTCGTAGTACATTTTTTTCCAGTACAGCCAGTTAAAGTTGAGCAAAGTTTTACTTTGGAATACTTGGTTGGGAAATAAGTGTCAATTTTTCCTGAACGAGAAAAGTTGGCAGTAAGGTTGAGACACCAGTTTGAAGATGCATTATTCATCATTGCATTGGAAAAATAAAATCCAAAAACAGTTATATTTGTAGTAACAGGAGTTGACAGATTGCCGTAGGGTGTGAAATTTCTATATCTTTTTCAAAGACCTATAATTTTCAAAACACATACATAAAAATTTTTTAAATAATTTTCTGATAGCCGTTATGACTTTGCCTATCACCCGGTTTCGGCTTGACGTCGACTTCTGGGACACCCTGTATATAGGTTTGAATAATGCTAGCAATAATATTATGGTTTAAGGAGACTTCAGACTAAAAAGCGTAATAATGAACTAGCGCAGTTGCTAGCATGCTAACGCTATGCCAAATATTGTACGTTGATGTCTTTATTTAAAAAGTCCAGTACCGCAGTTGCTGGTATGCTAATGCAATGCTAGCGATATACTTTATCCCTATCTTCAATCATTTGTTATCCTTCATCGTCTTTGATCTTACATCTATCGTTTATCCTTTATCTTTGACCTTTCATCTTTTATCCTCTATTTTTTATCCTCTATACTTTATCTGTCATCTGTCATCGGTCACCTGTCACCGGTCACCTGTCATCTGTCATCTGTCATCTGTCAGCTGTCATGTGTCATCTGTCATCTGTTATTTGTTATCTGTTCCTCTTACCTCTTAAGGCGCCGAGTTTCTAGTTTCCGAAAAAAAAAAACAGGAAAAACTGCCTCGACGTCAAACGCTCCGATCCAGACTCGACACGCGAACGTTAAACGAAAAACAAAAGACTACCGCTTAATATAGTCGATTTTGTTTGGCAGTATTGCTGATATGATGGAAAATCATGTTTGGACAAGAAAAAGTTCAAAATGTCTCATAGGTCTGAGGGATAGTTATTTTTTGTAACAGAGAGAAAATGGCAGTTGTGTGAACGGGTCTTCTATTTGATTTGTTATAGTCAATATAAACCGGTTCTTAATGCTACCTGATTACTTTGCAGGCCCTGCGATCTGTGCCATCCTGACGATAAGTTTACTTCCAAGTGCCCTTGCATCTTGGCTGATGGTTTTGAGCGAACTCTGCTTGCAGTCAACAAAATGCTGCCTGCACCAAGTATACAGGTAACAGAATAAAACATGAAATAAAATTATTTAGATTTTTCTCCTTTTTCGACTCTTACTCTCCTCCTTGTCGTCTTCTATCTTCTCAGTCTCCTTCTTTTAGAGCTAGAGTTACAACAGAGCCATGAGTTACCGGTATAATAGGAAATGAAATTAATTTTTCATTCATTTTCAACAAGACGGTGTACAATATATACCAGGAGAGTTACAAATGAGGGTGCGACCTTTTCGTTGGGCCGCACTGTATATTGTATATATTTAAATGACCTTTCTTATGTGCGCTTAGGTTTGCGCAGGCGACAGGATCGTCGTTGACGTGACGAACGCGATGGAGGGTTACGACACGACACTTCACTGGCACGGCCTCCGTCAGAAGAACACCCAGTACTTTGATGGAGTACCGATGATCACGCAATGTCCTATTAGCGCGGGACAGACGTTTAGGTAAGCTTAACCCAAATCGCCGTCACGGTCAAGAAATAGTAGAAAAAGTAGAGTTTAATTTCCATATAACATATTTAGCTTGTGTTGCGACAGCTTCAATCTGTTTTTACCAGGAAGTTTAATCTTTATGAATGCTATATGATAGTTGTAGTCACCGTTCTTTTGCCAGTATCGCTTTATATATCTCTATCTTCCTCAAAAATACACATGCAACCTATAGTCAACGCCAAACAAAGTGGCGTGCACGTCATCAAGGTGGGTGTGTTGAAAAATTTACATTGTTGCCAAACTTTTTGTAAAATAATAAAATTTATTATTTACATATCTAGGTTTATAAGCAATATTAACCTCAAATGAGAACAAAAAAAATAGTATAATAAAATTATAGATCTGTACTTGCATAATCATTAAGTATGACAATTATTGATCAGATGACACTATGAAACTACCATATTTAATTGATAGCTTAAAGGTACTGAATAAAAATCCAAATGGGGTCCTCCAAATTTTATGCATGGTATTTATTTTACAGAATTCATACAGAAAAATGCATTCTAAAATTAGGTAAGCTACTGGTGTAAGCTTTTTCTGTACAATAAAGTTAGTCGGAGTTTCTTTCTTCAGCGCTGTCTGAATCTGAATCTTCATCACTCTCAAAGTTGATTATTAAAGGTTCGATGTCTGGTCGATCAAAAATTCGTTCTCTTTCATACCATTTAAAAATTTCTTGCTCAGTATGTCGAACCCTATTTTTCCACATGTCTGGGGTAACCGTTTGTAGAGCCTCGTTCCACATATCCAAACAGTCTTTTTCACTGTTACCATCTCTACCAATATGTCTGTTATAGTAACCTTTTGCTATGCCCCAAATTAACTCAATAGGGTTAAATATACAATGGTAAGGAGGCAGACGAAGAACTTTGTGCCCATGTTGTTCCGCCAATTCATCAATCACGTATATTTTAGGTGGTTTGTTTCTAAAAAAGCAGTTATTTTAAGAATAGGAATAAACAAAAGAAATATAAACTGTCGACCAAAATATATATAATTAAGAAGCATTATGTACCGAGCAACAATACTCAATAGCTCTGTTTTAAACATTGTGTTTAAAAATGGTATGTTTTGATTTGTCAACCAGTCTTGGATATTTTTTTTTGTCCATGCATTGTTGGGCACTTTGTTCAATATCATGCTGTGATAAGGGGCGTTATCCAGTATAATCATAGATGGACTCTCCAATTTTTCTAATAACTGATGTTGAAACCATTTCAAAAAATTGTCCTGGTTCATATCTCCATGGTAATCGCTCAATTTTGTTTTCGAAGAAAATATCGCTTCACTACCCTCAATAAACCCATTTTCATTTCCAGCATGTAATATAATGTATCTAAAATATATTAGTTTTAAATTTTATAGTGCAAATTGTGTAAAAGTACATACCTTTTACCATCTGTTTTAATAGCTTTCACGCTTTTTTGGTTTCCATTTTGCCAAGAGCGACCTATGGTCCCATTTTGAAATATCCAAGTTTCATCGAGGAAGACAAACTGGTATAAGGCCTCAACCTTGGCTTGATTGTATTGCCTTAGAAATTCCACCCTTTTCAAAGCTATACTTGGTAGTTCCATGAGCCCTCGTCGCGGATTGTCCTTAAGCCACTTAAATCCAAGATCTCTAAGCAACCGCCTTAAAGACGTGGCACTACCATCAAATAATGCCCTATCTCTTAATCGAGACCATAAAGTTTGTATCGTAACTTGTTCTTCTGAAACCATGTGTAATATGACATTATAATTTAGTTAACAAATTAATGCAAATTTCTGATAAGTTATTATAATAAGATCTTACTTTTGTGATACATATTATAGATCACTTCTCGAATGGCACTTGTATCCAATGTCGCTGTGTTGGTTACACGTTTAATATAACTCCGCTTTTTCTTGGGCGATTCTAAATTTGCATCACTTTTTACACCCTCGGAAATACGACTAACTGTCCTTAAACTAATTTTTAAAGCAGCAGCAACACGCTACAAAAAATGAAATACAATTTCACTATTATTAATATACATTACATATAATTATTAGTAACCTACCTCTTGAACAGCATTTAAAGGCAACAAAGGCCTGTTGTTATCCCTTTCTTGCTCAAAGTAGTGCATTAACGAGGCCACGAGTTCCTTACACCGACTATTTAACTGTTTGGGCATCTTTATATATCAAAATTGCCTTTATCTACTCGTAAAATGAATAATTTTGTTTTGAAACAAACAGTTGTTGATTTAGAGTATGCGGGGCCAAAGGATTTGTAAAGATTTGAAATGCCACAAATTGATTCAGTGTCAAAATTAATACAAATGTCAGTTCCCAGTTTAAATAAGTTTCAAGGTGACAATGTGTCAACGCTGCGAAATCGGTTTAGTGCGTTTACATGTCGATAAGTGATTGGAGCGTTTGCAAAACATTTTATTTCGCATAATGCGTCTAAATTTATCAGAAAGCAACTTATGTGATATTTTAATAACAATGTTTATATGACTATTAACCATAATAAGAGAGTAATGACCATTTTACAATTTATATATCACATTAATATGAAACTGCAATAGAGCAATTGTTTGTGACAGAAACCTAGGCATTAGGTCGGGGAATTTTTATCGTGATGACGTGCACGCCACTTTGTTTGGCGTTGACTATACCTCTGTGTGTGAACGTTTGTTCAGTAAGCTCAAAGACATACGTTTTTTAGTTCTGTGTTTCCATCTCGAAAACTTTGTCTCTACGTATGAGTGCCCTTCAATCGTATTTGTCAGGGTGACAACTTACTTGTCATCGGCGTGCAATTTGAGTTGTCCTGTTATCAATCTTCAATATAAAATTGTACAATGCCCGGAAATACGATCCATGGAGAAAATTTATTAGAGTATTTAAAGGAAGAGAATGAAAACAGCGGTCCCGTGTTACTCTCTTCATTTGTACTGGAGAGAGTAGCAGATGCGCTGAGGATTAGACTGCGCAGAGTTCCGCTCATGGTACGGAGACTCGATCTGTTTACTTATTTCATATGGCGTTGATGACTTTAACGCAAGAACGGTGACTACAACTGTAGCAGAATAGCTCTCACGATGTTAATATAACACCTGAAACTAATCCTGTCGTGTTCATGTTGATAAGCTTTTGTTGTGGGGTAGCTAAATCAAACCGCACACAAGGTTAGTTGTTAGCTTTAGAGCTTTTTCAATTTTTTAGAGTCATAATGGCAATGAGAATATACTGACAGTCTACTTCAGTTATAACAAATGATTCCAACAATCCTGTTTCACGTGGTGAACTTCACCATTTTGTTTGATATTATTTGTCAAACCTCCTCCCATCGTCTGCTATATCTACCAGAATCGATGGCATCTAGCGGTCTCAGTGATAGCTCCAACAGAAGCTGTCATTCAACTCGCAGCTTTCGATTCTGTATTTAAAAAAATGATTTCGCGACAATTGTTAGCTCTTTGGTCTCTTTGGCCATTGGGAAAGCAGTGGTTGATTTACTATAGATTCTGTACTATAACTGTATTCTTATTTGTACAATAGATACCAGATGATCACCAACGAGGGCACATACTTCTACCACACGCACTCGGGCCTCCAAAAATTCGATGGTATCGAGGGCAGCGTCATCGCGAGATTGCCTCGCAGCCAGGACGGTGCTGCACATCTGTTCGACTATGATCTTCCCGAGCACGTGGTGTTCGTCAACGACTGGATGCACACGCACATCGAGAGCAAGTTTCCAGGATTGCGAACGGTAAGTGCAATTCCGCAAACTATCATCCTATGGTCTCACAGAGAAGCTTTCCACAACGTCAACGCGGGTGTTCCTCAGGGATCGGTCCTGGCTTCGACACTGTTCCTCTTACACATCAACGACCTCCTTTCCTTTACGATCAATCCGATCCGCAGCTTTTCTGATGTCACCGCTCCACATACAGGAGTAGGGAAGCAGTTTAAACGTAATTGAATAATTATTATTTTTCTACTGTTAGAGCGCTTCTGTGAGTAGATGCATTCTTTCGATAGAGCGTGATTTTTGCTTCAGTAAGCCTGATATTTTCTCTATTCCGGTTATTTTTGGGTACCTCCTCGTATAATAAAAGAATTAAATAAATCAAGTTAGTCAAAAGTTGTTTTTTGTACAATTTTGAGGCGATGTAGGAATTGGGGCTCGGAGAAAATATGTCCTCTTCTGCTCTTCAAAAAATTTTGGAAAAAGCTTAGCTTTCACGCAAAAGTTATCTGTTGGCTTTTCATGTTCTAGGTGACATAACCAACAACATTGATAAAGGATGTTTCACAGTTTATCCGACAAATTTTAATCACACATGCACAGTTACGAAAGTAGTTGATTTCTCAAAAAAAAAAAATGTAATAAAAGTCGTACAGAATGTGAGATTATAAATTGAATAAATATCTAAAAAGCAATACCTGCTGGTAATGATACCTTATTTGAAGAAAGAATATAGACAATTTTATGAATGTACATATATTGAATATATACAGGGTGGCCCATCCATGTGTAGACGGAATATTACTCGTAAACAAATACATTTTGGGAAAATCTATTTATGGGATGTTATACATGACATTTGAAGGCACATTTCTAATATACTGCCATTATACAGGATGTCCCAATTTCACCTTACCTACCAAAGCTGTATTTTTTTAAATGGAATGCCTAAAATTTTATTGCATCTTTGGCTGAACCAATTCAAAAGAAAAAGATTGATATATCATACTAAGAGGCTTTGGTAATTAGCTACGTCCAGAAAAACCGTCCCCTTCGGCAACCCCTCAATCCGCCATTTTAAAATTTGGAGTGCTGAAGTTTGTGTGCAAATGAATGGTTTGCAGAACACGGAAGACCTATTGGCATGCGAAGTGTTTACCGACGAATGAGAAGTTTTGGCTTGTTTTCATACCGGCCACACTGGGTACTCCCCTTAACTCGAGAACACCGACGTAATCGCCTTGAGTGGTGCAGACAAGGGTCACTCTGGGATCAGGAATGGAACAGTATTGTCTTTAGTGACGAGTCTCGATTTTGTTTAGGCATGCACGATGGTCGTGCCAGGGTTAGAAGGCGACGTGGTGAAAGGAGGAATCCACAGTTTTCTGTTGAAAGACATGTTCCTCACACTGTTGGAGTTATGGTATGGTTTGGGGTGCTATAGCTTATGGTTCCAGGTCACCTTTAATCTTCATCAGAGGTAACATGAACGCGCAGCGTTATATCCACGAAGTTCTAGAACCCCATCTTTTACCCTATCTTGACACCCTGGCAGATCCAACTTTCCAACAAGATAATGCCCGACCACATGTTGCAAGAGTCACAATAGACTTCTGTCAATATAATGATGTCACATTGTTACCATGGCCACCAAGATCTCCCGACTTATCCCCAATGGAGCACGTGTGGGATATGATGGGTAGGAGATTGCTCAATTTGCAATGTCCTCCTCAGACTCTAGAAGCGCTTCGAGAGGAGTTGGTGGTTGCCTGGAATGAGATACCACAGGAGGACATTGACCACCTGATCAGAAGCATGCCTAGGCGCGTTGGAGAATGCGTATCACATCAGGGTGTATCCACACATTATTAAAGGTCAAACGGCTTTAAAGCAGTGCAATCATTTAGAAATTTTTATCATTTACTTATTATGCTTCATTAAGTACTCCGGATTTATATGTCACTTAGTATATTTGAATGATGTTGTGTTCTGTATGCTTTGATTTCCAACATCCAAATCATCTCTATCGCTGTTACCTATAATCATATACTAGGTTTTTTTACATTAAATTTCACGTACTATACTTCCAGTTTCCTTAAACATATGACCTGAAACTTCATCCATATAAGATTCAAAATCCTCCACGAATTAAAGGACACTGACCTGACAAAGAGCTCAGAATTCCCAGTGTTAGTGCTTAAGCGGTTTTGTGATTTGGAAAACATGCTCTTTTCAGGCGAGGTTCACTTTCATTTGAACGACTTTGTGAACAAGCACAACTGTCGATACTGGAGGCAATCTGTAACTGTTAATCCAGAACATTATGTTCGCATGGTGAGAGAATTTTTTGCCCTAAAGCTCCAATATTTTGATGGATACAACTCCGTGGCGTGGTTTCAATAGGACGGCATCACCTGTCACACGTCGAACGTGAGCACGGGCATCGTACATGAAATGTTCCCTGGAAAAGTGATATCGAGGGGAGGTGACATTGTTGGCCACCACGAAGTCCAGACTTGACCCTACCCGAGTTCTTTTTAAGAGCCGAGTCTACAATGCTAATCCAAAAACCAAAGAAGTAAAGCATTATCCAACTAGCAAAGTAGTGCTATAAGCTTTTGGTAAAAGAACCGTTCAGCCATAAAAGCTCTCTATTGTTGTTGCCTGAACACCAAAATGCTGGCTTAATGTGGCCGATATGTAAGTAAACAAGATGACTGTATTGTGTTAGTTATATATTCTTCACTTCGTCTATACAATACATAAGAAATAGGTTGGTTGCAATAAAGTAGAATCACGTAACAGAATAGTTGTATAGTTGACAAAAACTGAATCTTGCACTGACGCAAATATCCTATAGCGGCTGCAAGAGGCTTACACTTTTGTTGAATAACTGTTACCTGCAGCCCTTATACAACCTCTTAAATGTCTAAGTGTCCTATTAGGTGTGCCCATTCCGCTTGTATAGCTGTTCTAAGAGGGTTTTGCCAATGTTCTTACGGTATACAATGCTGTGTATAATCATTCTTGCAACTCTAATAGGAGTGATAATTGTTAGTTGGGTAGACACGAGACGGCGGCAATCTCAAGAGCATCTTGCATTCAAGTGTTCGACAATTTGAGGTCCCGTTTGGAAGAGTGTTCTCAGAGATCTGGAAGCCATCTTGTTCAAAACATAAATCGGCAATGCTTTTTTATAAAAAATAATTTAATAAAAATTAGCATACTCTTCTAGGTATAACCTACTTTCATGTACAAGTGAGTTTTATTATGGTCCGCCTTGTATTCGATACACAAGTTTCATGACTCAAGGCCGAACGTTTCCAGAGAAGCACTGCTCAGCAACCGACATCAATCTTGATCAACGGAAAAGGAAGATGGACGGATCTGAGCGCCGGCAACACTACAACAACGCCACTGGAAGTCTTCAACGTGAAGAAGGGGTACAGGTACAGGTTCAGAATGATCAACTCTATGACGTCCGCGTGCACCTTGGGCATGAGGGTTATCGGCCATAACCTGACAGTCATAACTACGGATGGAGAGTTGGTGCGTCCGCAAGTTGTGGATGCGATACATAGTTCAGCTGGTAAGTATATGTAACTGTAAATAAAATTCGTCCATTTCTTTCATCTTAGTCTTTTACTGAAACTCAGAAATTATGTATGAAAAATAGTATCAGACAAATAACCGCCTCCGGAAGCCGCGCATACCTGAGCCCTCTTGATTAAATTTTTCATCACTTTTGGCAGGTTTCGGGAGAAATATTTTCAATTGCTTCCCTAATATTGTTCTTCAGCTGCTCTACAGTATTTGGTTTGTTGGTATAAACCCTATTTTTCAAAATCCCCATAAAAGAAAGTCAGGAGCCTTTAAATCCGGTGACCTTGGTGGCCAGTTGACATCACCAAATTGAGAAATATTGTTGGCAAAAGATTTATTGTTTCCCTAACTGTGTAACAAATTGCTCAGTGCTGCTGGAACCTGTTTTGCAGGTTAAATTGTTGGATTTGAGGAAGAAAATGTTTAGAGAGAAAATGCCTAACTTGGTTGTATTACGTCTTCCAAATAACACTTTCTTTGATCTTGAGCATTCCAAAATTTATCTGGATAGGTCGAACCATTTTATGTTCATACGAATGGAATGATTAAAGAGCAGATCCAGTAAATATTATAACAATTCGACCCCAGTTTCCACCTCAATAAGTAAAGCGAAACGGAAATTTCATAGGTGAGAGATACGACTTCATTCTACACGCAGACCAAGAGGCGGGCGAATACTGGATACAGTTTTGGGCGACTGGATTATGTCTTGATGACCAAATTCAGCAACTGGCTATCCTTAAATACGAAGGTTCAGATTCTACTAAACTGGCTGTGGTTCCTACATACCAAGAAGCATTGAATCATACGGGCTTGGTAAGTGAAAAATGACACATTTACTTGACGTAATGTTTCAGCTAGAAAAGACTAATTTGGTACATGTGACATCATATAATAATACAATGATAATTTATCTTTCTTCAGACAATGTTTGTATAGGAATCGTCAAGAGAGCAGCTATATACAGAGACATAACAGAACGATAAATAAAACAAGATAATAATAATAATAATAATATTTATTCACTCAATGTACAAAGATAACAAACAATATGAGTAAATAAATATAAAATCAAAACAGGCCCAATAGAAGGCATCGCCTGTACATGGACCAATAATTTAAGTTGAAACTGTAGAACGCAAATGACAAAAAAGGACAAAAATTAGCTACAGTAGATTATGTATTTAGTTGATGTTCGTATTTATGAGTTTATGAATTTCAGTCCTAGATATAGAATGTAGCCACTTTTTTAAATTTCTTTTGAAACAATTTCCGAAACGTAAATCTTTTAAGTCTTTAGGTATAATTTCATAAAATTTAGGCGCTAAATAGAGATATGATCGCTGCATTATAGATTTATGCGGTTGAGGAACTACTGTGCCACGAATTTTGTACCTGGTATAATGATTATGTTTAATTTTTTGGTCGGTGTTTACAAATTTATGGTAGTGAGTGATACTGTGTAAGAAATAAAGCTGTCTTATATCATACATTCGAACATCTGCGTATAATTTTTCAGTGGGATAAAGTTTCGGTTTTTTAAATATCATTTTTAGAATACTTTTTTGAAAAACATATAAATTATAGATATGTGAGGAACATGCAGCTCCCCATGCTAATATACCATATGTGACATGAGGCTCAATCAGTGCATGGTATAATCGTTCGAAGATATTTTTCTGTCAATATATTCCCAAGGTATTTAATTTTGTAGGATACAAATCTAACTTTCTTTAAAATATAATTGACATGGATGTCCCATCGTAAGTGAGGATCCAAGACCACTCCAAGGTATTTTATGTTGGGCACTCTATTAATTTGCATTTTTTGATCATTAATATTGAAGGAGAAATTTGTGTAATTTGGCAGATGTCTAGCATAAGATCCAAATGGTAAAAAATGCGTTTTAAAGTAGTTAATGCTTAATTTTCTACTGTTAAACCACTGAATAATTTTGATAAAATCATTTTCAATTACATTTTTCAGATCAGACCAGTCAGTGCCTTCATATAATATTGCAGTATCATCTGCAAAACTAGTTATTTTGCCAACACAATTAATTTGGAAAATATCATTTAAATATATATTGAATAACAGCGGACCTAAGACAGTTCCTTGTGGGACACCACACTTAATATACATTTCTTTACTAAATGATCCTGATATCTGCACAGATTGTGGGCGATTTGACAAATAACTTTCGATCAGTGAGTACGCGTTTCCTCTGAAACCAATTCTCTCCAATGCTTCTAATAATAATTTGTGATTAACTGTATCGAAAGCTTTCTTTAAATCAACAAAAATGCAGATTGAAGGGATTCTGTTATCAATATTTTGATGTATTTGATTTACAATTTTAGTTATTGCGTCCGATGTAGCCTTCCCTTCTGTAAATCCATATTGATTTTCACTTAAAATTTTGAATTTTGTGAGGTATCGAATCATTCTAGTAGATAAAACTTTTTCAAAAACCTTTGCTACACTGGATATTATTGATATTGGTCTATAGTTGTTAACATCTGTTTTTGTTCCTGATTTATGTATCGGTATTATATTACCTTTTTTTAAAATTGAGGGATATATGCCAGATTCAAAGCATTTGTTGATTAGGTAAGTGAGTGGTTCTGTTATGTCCTCGGCTATAATTTTTAAATGCTCGCTTTTAATACCATCGAACCCAGGACTTTTCCGATTTTTTAGGACATAACAGTGGTGTATACTTCACATTGCTCGACATTATCCAAAATAAATGAGTTCAAAGTTCTTTTTGGAGGCTGAGTATTTTGTACATTTGCTTGTATATTACTTGCTAAATTTTCGCCTATGTCAGTAAAGAATTGTACAAATTCATCGCATATCTGTTGAGTATTTTTTAATACTGTTCCCGATGTTGAATTTAACTCAGTGACACACTCTTTACCTTTTGTTTTCCCAGTAATCTCATCAATAGTTGTCCAAAGCCGCTTAGGATCATTTAAGTTATTATTCAATTTATTTAGGTAATGTTTTCGTTTGGTTTGCCTTACAAGCTCTATAAATTTATTTTTATATTGGTTGTAGCAGTCGGTATTCTCTGTAGTTGGCGTTAGTTTCATTACATTATATAGTCTTTCTTTTTCTTTTGCCGATGTTATTAATCCTTTGGTAATCCAGGCATTTCTGCTTTTCTCTTTGTGACTAATTATTACTTTATTGGTACTAATATCTATTAGTTTTTTTATTTTCTCTATGAACAGTCCCATTGATTTGTCTATATTATTTATAGAGTATAATTGTTCCCAGGATTCTTGTTTGAAATTTGATATTAGTTTTGAATTGTCGACAAAAGATTTGTAATTTTCCTGGTTGTTACTAACGGTAGGGATGTTAGAATGTTTTTCATTTGAAGATATCAGTAAAATAGTGGAGAAGTGGTCAGTAATATCGCTTTCTAGGATTATTGGTACACAAGTAATTTTGTTGGATAGGTCTTTCACAAAGCAGTGATCTATACATGTGCCACTGATGGACCTTGTAGGTAGGTTTATATAGGACAGAAATCCGTTACTTGATAGGATATTCAAGTATTCATTTGTGATGGGATCATCGTCCAAAATATTTATATTGACATCTCCCAAGAAAATATGTTGCTTTAAATGAACTTTATTTTGATTTTGAAAAAAAATCGATATTCTTTAAAAACTCGTGGGGTTCTGAACATGGCGGACGATAAATTGCAGATACCTCAATTTTGTTATGGTTAATTTGGATTATTATGTTTAAAATTTTGATTCCATCGCTGAAAGTGAATGTATCATGATTATATTGTAGTTTATTTCTTACAAAAACTATCACCCCATCGTTTTGGTTATGAGTGCCAAAGTTATACAGCGTGTCATATCCCTGCTGATTGAAGCAAGAAATATCAGCCACTTGCCACGTTTCAGTTAAAACTATTAGATCAAAATTGTACCATATTTGGTCGAGTAGTATTTTTAAGTAATCAATGTTGTGTTTTATACTCCTTATGTTCATATTAAAAATTCGAAATTTTGCATCAGAATTTTGTGTACATAAATTAAGTTCATCGACGTTTTGTGCTATATTTGTTGCAATACTTGGAATTTGGAAATCATTAATGTATTTATTTACTGACATTTTTAGGTCCTCTTTAGATAGATAATAAACAACATTTTCACACTGATAAACTCACAAACATTATACAAAGATGTATGCATCAAAAAAGCTTTCAAACAATACTTAAAGTGTAAAGTAAATTTTAGGACCAAGTATACAGGGTGCTTTCAAAGTTGAGTCATTTGTTTTAACTGCTTATCGGAGTGGATATACCAAAAATCACCTATATAAAAATTGCAAGTCTGTTTGTTCGCTGTGACAACTTTTACATTACTTAGTTTTTACAATCTTGTTAATAATGGTGAATTATTCAAATGCAGAAATGACGGAAATGCTTTGCTGACGGTAATGGTGAGCAAGCCAGACGGATTTATCACCAGAGATATCACGATCGTGCTTTGCCAGATAGTTGAACCTTTTCTAATATTCATCGTTGTTTTGTTGAAACTGGCTCTGTCCGAAAAGGAACATCTGAAGGTAGACCTCTAAGTATGAGAACACCTGAAATTGAGGAAGCAGTGCTGCGCGAGGTCGAAGAACATCCTGAAACGAATACGAGGAAGACCGCTAGACACTTAAATATTTGCCATCAAATTGTTTGGAGAATTTTAGTGGATTTTGTTATATCCTTATCATATTTTAACAGTACAGGCATTACTTCCTATTAATTTTCCAAGGCGTGTGTGACCTTTAGTCAGTGGTATCTTCAAAAAGTTACACAAAATCCGCAATTTGAATCAATGACTCGTTCACGGACGAAGTTAATTTTTCTCGAAATGCCATTCAGAATTTCCACAATAATCATTTGTGGGCAGAAGAAAATCCCTATGCCGTAACCGAAACCCATTTATTAAATTAATAATAATTTTACATGTTAGACAATAGAACGGTTTTTATTTTTTTACTCAAAAATGGCGCATCGAAGAAAAATAATATAAGAGAGATCATTTGTTATTTGAATTCAAAAGTAATTTTTATTTGGCCAAAAACATTACTTTTGCATTGAAATATATGCAACTTTATTAACCTTCACTACGTACTAAATATCAGTGAAATATCTGAAGCGGTTCTGAAAATATTAATTAATTTCCATTTTATTTCCTAAAACTTTAACACCTCGAGTTTTTGTAAGGAAACACTTTTGGACCATAGTGTATTACAATAATAATAATAATAACGTTTATTGAGATACAACTCAAAAGGAAAGGGTATTGTACGGACCTTTTTCAACCCTTCCGAAGGCATTAATACAGGGTGACTTCGAAGTTGAGTAATTTATTTTAACAGTGAGTAGATCTGATCAAAAGAAATGTTTTTTCCTTTACCATTTTTCTGGTAAAATTAAAGTAACAAAGTTATAGTCCTTTGGAAGTTTGAGTACCGCCCTGTCTCAATAATAATATCATGTGCTCGTGTTTGGCAACAACGGATATAATCCGCCTTATCGGTTCATCGCATCGGAAACAAAACAGCGAAAGAATTTGGAACGATGTTTTTACAATTATTTTATTCAGTTCAGTTATACATACAATCAGTGTCAGTCGGTAACGCGTGTGAATAGTGTCTGTTGCGTGGCTCAAACGAAATAAAAAATGGGACATGTTTATGCGGATCGGTTTCCCAATCGAGTGCAACCAACCACTCGTGCCTTTGTTAATGTAGTACAACGGGCTCGTGAATCAGGTGACTTAAGACCTCACAAGGGACCTCACGATCAAATACAGGTCCGCACTGAAATACTTGTCGGGAGGATACTTTATAAAACAAGGTAACATTTTTTTTTTAATTTTTTTTTATTTTTACACACATATTTTGGTTTATCTTCCTTCTACAATCATTATCTGAAAATTAATGACTCAACTTCAAAGTCACCCTGTATAAATAGATAAATTGCGAAAGAATAGATTGATAATAGACATCAGACAGATATAGTTAAATAACATGGTTAACATATTACAATCAGTATATAAGAGTACATTCTACATTTAAATTGTATAAATGGACAAGTAAGTAACTACACAAAAAAGAAAATATAAATAGATAGAGATAAGGTCATAACGCCAAATAATAGATGGAATTCACGATTACAGTACATGAAACTGATACAATAACGTCGTATTAGTACACACCTTTTTGCTTGTTAAGAAGATATAGCCTGTAGTACTTTTTAAACCGTTGTATGGAATTTTCGTCAAATAGTTCAACCTCTTTGTTCAGAATGGTTGGAGCCTTGTAGCTAAAACTACTTTTAAACTTGCTTGAAGAGTGCGTAGGAATAACATATACTAAGTGACATATAAATCCGAACACCCAATTTATTTTTCTTCAGACAACATTTGTATACGAATCGTCAAGAGAGCAGCTATATACAGAGACATAAGAGAACAATAAATAAAACAAGATAAAAAACAACATTTACACACTGCTAAACTCACTAACATTATATACTAAGTGACATATAAATCCGAACACCCAGTTTGAATGGTTTTATTTTAATAAAAGTTGGTGAATGTATTTATCTTACTGTAAATAACAAGTGAAAAACTTTTCAGCCTTATCAGTTGGACATTCCGGTTTTTATACTGCTTTTTTTAATTCACTAACGCTCTAAAAATGAATATTTCAGCCGCAGTAAAGAATCAACGTTGGCGGATTTGGTTCTTGACATCCTTTACGATCGGTTACGATGCCTAGAGTACGGAGACCTGTACGATTTCGTCAACTTAGTGAGTTAGATAGGGGCCGTATAGTGGGACTTCGGGAAGCTGGACTTTCTTTTCGGGCAATTGCAGTTAGAGTGCAAAGAAGTGTAGACACTGTGGTTAGGTGTTGTCAGGCATGGCTTCGAGAAGGCCGTACGCAAAGAGCAAGGGTCACTGGACGCCGCCGTAGAACAACAGACCGTGAAGACCGCCGCCTAAGATTATTGGCCTTAGGGGACCGTTTCTCCACTACCAGGTCCATTGCAAATGAATGGTTTGCAGAACACGGAAGACCTATTGGCTTGCGAAGTGTTTACCGACGAATGAGAAGTTTTGGCTTGTTTTCATACCGGCCACACTGGGTCCTCCCTTTAACTCGAGAACACCGACGTAATCGCCTTGAGTGGTGCAGACAACGGTCACTCTGGGATCAGGAATGGAACAGTATTGTCTTTAGTGACGAGTCTCGATTTTGTTTAGGCATGCACGATGGTCGTGCCAGGGTTAGAAGGCGACGTGGTGAAAGGAGGAATCCACAGTTTTTTGTTGAAAGACATGTTCATCACACTGTTGGAGTTATGGTTTGGGGTGCTATAGCTTATGGTTCCAGGTCACCTTTAATCTTCATCAGAGGTAACATGAACGCGCAGCGTTATATCCACGAAGTTCTAGAACCCCATCTTTTACCCTATCTTGACACCCTGGCAGATCCAACTTTCCAACAAGATAATGCCCGACCACATGTTGCAAGAGTCACAATAGACTTCTTTCAACATAATGATGTCACATTGTTACCATGGCCACCAAGATCTCCCGACTTATCCCCAATTGAGCACGTGTGCTATATGATGGGTAGGAGATTGCTCAATTTGCAACGTCCTCCTCAGACTCTAGAAGCACTTCGAGAGAAGTTGGTGGTTGCCTGGAATGAGATACCACAGGAGGACATTGACCACCTGATCAGAAGCATGCCTAGGAGCGTTGGAGAATGCGTAGCACATCAGGGTGCATCCACACATTATTAAAGGTCAAAGGGCTTTAAACCAGTGCAATCATTTTGAAATTTTTCTCATTTACTTGTTATGCTTCATTAAGTACTTATACAAAATTTTATTAAAATAAAAGCATTTAAACTGGGTGTTCGGATTTATATGTCACTTAGTATATGAACATCAGAAAGCCGCGTTAAATTGTTATAAAGGTATGATGGTTTTTTATATTTGATCAACTTATACAACATAGTATTGTATTGCAATTCAGCCTTCGAATCGTATTTCAGATAACCCAAATTATTGTAATGTGGAGATATATGTTCAAACCTGTTGATAGTGTTGTAACTGTACCGTAAACAACAGTTTTGTAAAACCTGAACCTTGTGTATCAAGTTAGCAGTTAAATATGTGTAAAAAAAAGTTAAACCGTAGTCCGTGTTAGACAGTATAACAGCATTGACTATTCGCCATTTCAAATCGGCAGAATATATTTGAGTCTACAAAGGCTCCTAAACTTAAAATAACAGCTATCTGAGATTCAAATGTTAGATTGCTGTCTATTAATAGGGTGACTTCGAAGTTGAGTCATTTATTTTAACAGTGAGTAGATCTGATCAAAAGAAATGTTTTTTTCCTTTACCATTTTTCTGGTAAAATTAAAGTAACAAAGTTATAGCCCTTTGGAAGTTTGAGTACCGCCCTGTCTCAATAATAATATTATGTGCTCGTGTTTGGCAACAACGGATATAATCCGCCTTATCGGTTCATCGCATCGGAAACAAAAAAGCGAAAGAATTTGGAACGATGTTTTTACAATTATTTTATTCAGTTGTATACAGTCAGTGTCAGTCGGTAACGCGTGAGTGAATAGTGGTGTCTGTTGCGTGGCTCAAACGAAATAAAAAATGGCACATGTTTATGCGGATCGGTTTCCCAATCGAGTGCAACCAACCCCTCGTGCCTTTGTTAATGTAGTACAACGGGCTCGTGAATCAGGTGACTTAAGACCTCACAGGAGACGGCATGCCGGTGCTCCAAAACCTCACGATCAAATACAGGTCCGCACTGAAGTACTTGTCGGGAGGATACTTTATAAAACAAGATACAATTTTTTTTTATTTTTACACACATATTTTGGTTTATCTTCCTTCTACAATCATTATCTGAAAATTATATAAAACAAACATATTATCGTTCAGGCACTGAATTATCCATTAACGACATGCGGCCACGACACCACGCACGGACTCTGCTTGGCCCATTTGAGAAGCGGATATGAAATAGATGACAAGGAGCTTCTGAAAGAGAAACCAGATGTGAAGCTGTATCTCAACTATACTCTTATGTCGTACGCGGCAGAGGAACTCTTCCAGAACGACTCGCACAGAACATACGCAGGTAGGACCAATCGCAGTTCATTTCTATGAGATTTTTCTGTGGCAATATTCAAGAAAGCCGTATTGTGTCTTGAGTTTGCAAACACCAGCTTGTAATTGCACCTCGGACGAGGGTTGTTTTAAAAATAGTGTTCAGGCGCGTGCTGCTAGGCAAGATCTGGCAACGCCGTCGTGTCCGTCACCGATCCCAACAAGAAGCGGCTATTGGCGGCACTCAGTACCGAGCTAACAACCATGCGCAAAGGAGTCCTTTATCGCCGCCACCGCCAGGTCATCCGATTTTTGCACGCAAAAACGTGACCATCCATAGAAATTCATCGCCAGTTGAGTAAAGTATATGGGAAACGTGTACAAAAATTCAAGATGTCCTTAAATGGTGAAGAGAGTTGTTTGACGGCGGCATATTTCAGACACATATAATGCATAGCACTCGTGGAAATGAATATATAGGGTGATCCAAATTGGGTTTCCACATTAAAAGTATTTAAAGAAAGAAGAAATTGAAAATTATAAAAAAGTATGTATTTGTCCTTTCACGGCAGTTCATTACGATTATGCTTGAAAGATGATGTCAAGTAAATGACCGCCGCGGCTCATGAGGCATGACGTAATCCGTTTCGAGAAATTTTCGACTACTCCGTGGCACAGATCAGGTCCTATGTTGGTAATTTCGCGTCTGACCTCCTGTTTCAGCTCCGCAATTGTGTTCGGGTTATTCTTGTACACTTTGCTCTTGAAATACCCCAAAGAAAATAATCTTAGTGCCGATTTCACCAACATTAATATTATGGACCAATGGGAAAATACTGTATCGGAATGCAATTTGACAGAAGCTGTCAAAGGTCTCTGAATATTAGTGATTTCTGTTGAAATATTGAATAAAATCGTGAAAATTCGACTGTATCATAAACAAGACCACTTTTTGATTCCAACATGATGCTTTTGTACAGAAAAAACAGGACAACTTTCATGTATTTTGATATATGTTATAGGTTTACATTTAACAATCCGTTATCCCCTTCAGCGAATGGGAATGCGGCAAATAATAGGTCGATTTTCTAGCTGGCAGCAGATTTGGACGTTTGCTAATGCATGGCACACTCGAATTTACCAACTTCAATATACTGAAAGTTATCATTGCATACCTGTTGAATATTTCGGATTTGTCTGTATTTTGCAAGAAAATAGAATATAAAATACATTCCATCCAATTCCTCATCATCCTTACGTCATAATAGTAATAATTTATTAATTTATGGGTTAATGAATTTCTTCAAAGCAGTAAAACATTATGTCCTCTCCATCCTAAAACACAGATAATATGTGTAAGACGTGTCAATCCCTACATCTCCCTGATGCATAATGCAATTACTATGGACATAGACAAAAAATTATGAAAAATGTTTCACAAATAATGTCTCTGAAGTCCAAAAAACCATAAAAACTAGTAATGTTTTTCTTTTTGACTGGCGGGGATATCTATGTGTCACTCGCAGGGTTGCCAAGTCTAACGACGATCATGTCCCGTGGTGGAGGATGCGAAATGAATCTTTTACATTTGCTGGTTTTGAATTTTTTTCGTGAAAATTTACTAGGTATCATTCAATTCAAAATTGAGACTTACATTTTTTTGTTCCTTTTTGTAACCCTTTGTGAGTTTATAAATAAAAAACTACATGCTGCTGGCAAGTAATGTTGATTTTGTAAGATTGGTACAACATCACCCATCAAGATAAATTAATCATCAGGTGGACATACTCTTTATTTTTTTTATTTCACTTTGTGTATTACATTTTGAAGTTTTTACTAAAAAAAAATTCAAAAATCTTTATAATTCATTCCGTTGGGCTAAAAACTGTGTGAGGGACCTGGGGTGATAGAAAAAGACCTCCTCTGCCCGGCATTTCAATTCGGCAAACGATGCACTAAACACCCTGTATAACTGATTACGTCTTGCATTTAGTCCATGAACATTTTTATTATTAACCCGGGTCTAGTCGCGCTCTTATTTTATGAAAATCTGGTCGCGCCGGGTCTCACAGACCCAACTGTTAAATTTGGACAAATCATAACAATAACTAAATTATTTCATATAAAAATTGATTCTGTATAATACTGTAAGTCACTAAATACCCATTTGCATTTAAAATATGTATATTAAACGAAATAATGTTATAAAATCTAGTTTTAACTGCAAGTGAAAACCAAGAACTTAAGATAAAATATTGTGCGCTAAAACTAATCTACTTAAAACAAGAATCTATAAATCGCCATCATTATTATCAGAATCACTACTAGCTTCTCCGTTCGTTTGTTCACAGCCTTTACAAAAAATAGTTGTGTGGCCTAAACATAAATATTTATAACAAACATTGTAGTAGTATCTGGTTTTGCTATCTGAATTAACACATTCTTCGCATCGTTTTCTTTTTCCGGGCACAGGAAGCTCACGTTCTTCTTCAGGTATACTGGCAGCTTCTCGCCGACTCTTTCTTACTTCACGTGAAAGGTTTGTCATATCGGCTTTGTGCTTTTGGTAATCGCTTATCAGCTGACGTGCTAACTGCAGCAGGAACTTTCTTCTTACTAAATCTATGTTTCGGTTATTTGCGCAAACAATGATATGTGCATTAATTGCTGCCACATTCAGTAAAGAATACAGTACAACCACGGGCCACCTCCTAGTATTCCTTGCACCATTTTAGTTTGCAGCTTTTTCATCTACTACATCAACGCCTGATTTCGTTTGGTTGTAAAAAATAATAATTTCTGGTTTGGCTTTATCTTCTGTTGCAGGATCTATTTTATCTTCCCTTTCTTCAACAATATCCTCAATCAAATTTCCTTCATCTTCATCATCATCCGCTACTTCATCAGATGACTCAATCTCTTCCCAAAGACGCCTAAGACGTTCTTGCTCTTTTTCATAAGAGCAATTCATTTCTAAAATAAAATATTTATATTACCAATAGAAATTATACTACATTCATTGTAGAATGGAATATAAAATAAATAAGGTTCATCTTATAGGATATCTAAATGACATTCATTAGATATTTGATGAAATAAAGTCATGGTTAAGTAATAGGAATAGTTACTTACCGAAATAAGCAATCAATGCACAACACTTTTAAATAACGAATTTAGTCGCGCCGGGTCTAAACGCCAATTTCAAAATGACTAATTTAGTCGCGCCGGGTCTCACTGTCAAGATTTAAATATCACGCTTTCCGGTTATCAAATATGCTAGAGCTGACTGCATTGTAAGCATGCCCTTGTCAAGTTAGGAAGGTAGTGGGAGTAGCACGCCTGGCAATGTTGCCACAACTGAGCTACGCTACATGATATAAACTCGTGGGTCTGTGAGACTCGGCGCGACTACTGCAGGGTTAATAGTTTCCGTTTTTATCGAATTTTGGTAACATAAACTGTTTTCTTAATCATAATCATCACGTTTCAGTTTTCGGAGGAACGCAGTACGTGCAAGCGTTCGTGAACGGATATTCGTTCAAGTTCCCGCCATCACCACTGCTCAGTCAATATCAAGACGCTAAACACTCAATTTGTCCCACCGACGGATCGAACCCGCCAGGCTGTTCAGGAAACTGCTCCTGCACCAATGTCTTCAATGTTCCGCTCAACTCTGTTGTGGAGATTGTAATGATTGATGGAGGTAAGTTCGAATGAGCAGCAGTATCTTTTATTCTTGATCTGTACTCGCACGAATTACGGCACTGCTATGATGACGAGCTCATACACCTTAGGAAAAACCATTGTTATACATGGGAAATCATTTCTTGGCAACAGCGCATCGGCTCGTCTACTTTCATCGCTATTTGTACATATTTCCTACCGTTAACCGCAGACCTGTATCACGGATGAGAATAATAGGCAGATACGCTGTGTTGCCAATTTGAGTAGAGCTTCCCGAATTGTGGGGAATTTAGAGTTAAGTGTTGATTCATTCAAGCTTTTAATCAGCATGGCCTAGACGTTAGAACTTCATAAAGATAACATTGAAGCTGAATGCTGCTGGAGTATAGTGTTTCGAATATTCAAAGCGGAGCGGGACACTATACTCGTTCAATGGGTCATCAAGCCACAGTCTTTTCAACAAAGAAATTATTTTACGAAAATGCGTTATATTTTTACGATTTTGTCGTCACCAAATCTCTGTTTCTCAAAATGTACGTCTATTGTAGAATTTTCAGCAAACTAAGCAAGAAACGTGATCTAGTATTTACTCAACATTACGGATTTCTCGAAATACATTAAAAAATTTGACCTAGATACCTAACTGCCCCAAGCTCTTTAAATATAACACCTTAAACCAGGGTTACCAGGTGCTCAGTCACGTTGATTGTCAAGTTGTACTGCGCAAGTAAGCAAACAATCTGGCGTAATAAATGTTAGGAATCATCAGGTATTGCCAGATTCCCGAATACCGGGCAGCATTTTAACACTATGGTATAGGATTCGGTACCAGCCTTAATTTTATTGGTCGATTTCAATTTATTTAACCAATAACAAGCTGGGTGCCGAAATCACTACCGGAATGTTAAACAGTGCTGAAAACAGTGTCAGAATGTTATCAATAAACTGCTTCTACTAATATATATAAATATAACTTGAGACGTGGTCATTGTCCTCTAGACCAGTTAGGTGAAAAATTAAAGCTTCCGCCTTGTGTTGGGTACTTCGACAAAATTTAAGCAAGGAGGACTCTTTATACTTTTTTTATTCTCTCTAGCTTTCAATGGTCTTTGCCATCATCATCAGGAGAGTAGTATGTGAGGATGTTGCTAATTGTTGTTTACGTTAAGGATGAGGGAAACACCCAGTAACATGCCCACCATTTTGTGCAATCATCAAGCGGCTTCACGATGTAATGTTTAACTTTCAATTTCTAAAAAAATTTTTTATCTGTTTTTAACTTGTTCTTGTCATACAGCTGTGTGTATTTTATATAATTTTGACTATTGTACCATTTATCCAGCTTTCACCATGTTACTGGGTGTTTCCCTCATCCTTAACGTAAACAACAATTAGCAACATCCTCACATACTACTCTCCTGATGATGATGGCAAAGGCCATTGAAAGCTAGAGAGAATAAAAAAAGTATAAAGAGTCCTCCTTGCTTAAATTTTGTCGAAGTACCCAAAAAAAGGCGGAAGCTTTAATTTTTCACCTATATAAATATATATAAATTTTTCATGTAATTTTTCTTATTGCTAAACCAAATTATTGATTTTAAAATCATTAAATATCGTAATAGGAAACAACGTGCGTTGATTATTATCTTACGTATTTTTAGCGGAAGGTAAGTAAATTTAAATTTAAATTGATAACATTCTGACCCCATGCTCAGCACTGTTTAACATTCCGGTAGTGATTTCGGCACCCGGCTTGTTATTGGTTGAATAAATTGAAATTGACCAATAAAATTAAGGCTGGTGCCGAATCCTATACCATAGTGTTAAAATGCTACCGGGCACCATAGTAACCGTTATAGTTGTCCTTCAAAGTTGTCAAATCGCCCCTATGGCGCAAATTCGCCACACCAGGCAACTGTGCTACAAACAAACCCTGTTTATCACTACTATTTGATAGTCATATGGTAGTTGTAGCCCTATCTAGCGGTCCATGATTTCTCTCAATACTGTTGTATCTCTACTGGCAACAAGAATAGGGATTACAAAATCATTTATACAACAATATACAAACATGAAAAATATGATTTGAACCATGAAACATTAATACAATTTTAATAATTTGAACTTTTTTCATTTTTGGAATACTCTTATGTGGAATCCGCAGCTATTTTTCCCGAAATTTGGGTAGACTTAGATTTCTTAGACATATGACATATTGGTATCGGCAACTCTGCGAATGGGAGAAACAAATCGCATTTGTTGAGCGCATCCGTCTAAGCGGTAGGCGCCAGCGCCCGTTCTGCCATCTCTCTCTTTTATCACTCTTCTACTTTACCCCGTTGTCCGTCACACTCCGACGCTGCCAGATAGGATGCTACAATCGAGTGTCTTTCACGCACCTACATACTTTTGTATATTTCCATCTCTCTTCCTCATCATAATGTATAATAATGGTTTTGCCCAAGGTGTATGTAGAGTTGCTTAGGTTTGCACTTTTCGATTCCAGTAATCATTCTTCTTCTGTTGAATGAAGTCACTTTGGGGCCGTTCAAGTATTACGCAATCAGATTTATTACAATTATTTACCCCCCCACCCCCCCAAACCCCCTTGTCAGCAAAAGTAAGCAAAGCTCTTACACCCTCCCCCCACGCTTACGTAAACATTTGTCAATTAATGTAACAAACTTATTTTAAATATTTGGTACATATATTAAATTCAAATTTCAGTCTTCAGTCCATGAAACCCGAATCAAACGAAGCTATAGTATGTCCCACTGCGACTAATTGCAAATCCTATTTTACGTAATTCTTGTGTGAGTTCATCAAGAGTTTTTACGCTGCGAATTGATTCCGTTCGTCTTCTATCATCTGCTGCACTCCCAAATAAAGCTATATCCTCGATTGTTTTGAATAGTGAATGTTGATTGCTTTCAAGATTAGGACGTCCCACTGAATCCCTCAGAGATAGTCTTTTTTTATTTCTGGATTTTCATGACAAATATCTTCTAACTTTCTTTTCATACCATCCCTGTGTTTCTTCTGGGCAACTGCGTTTTGAACCTTCCTGTTTAAAGACTGTTTTGCTTTTTTTATTTCCTCGCGCAACTTAATGATCTGTTTATCAACTTCAGCACGGCTTGGCATAGTATCTCTGGCAGAATACAAAGCATTCAGATTTTTTTCGAGTAAAACAATCTTATTTTTCATAGCTTCCTGAGAAGGTTTTGCTCTCTGCTTATCTGTATTTTCATCAATTTCGCATTGATAATGTGATTCATTACCGGGTTTTATTTTATCTTCTTCCTCTTTTTTAATATTTGAAGCTGACCGTACATCTTGTGTTTTGTTTGCAGGTTTACAGATTGCCTAAAAATAAAAACTTTCTATGGCTTCTACTAAAGATTCTCTTATTAAGCTACATAAATACAAAGTATGGCAATATATGTGATAATTACAAAACCCTATGGCTTTAAATCTAATATGTTTAAACGAGCAATTCGTTCCGGTCACAAAATACAGTTAGTTTTCTGTATTTATGTATAAAACTAACATCCTGTACTTTGTGACCAATTGACGGAATCAATCATAAGAAATATATCTATAATATAATGAATATTACATCTATACTTTGAGATAGGCCATATTTTTTAATCAGTAAAGGGAAACTTTTTGGCGATTTCTAATATTTCCAGTATTCATAGGTACCTAAAATGATTTCGTCACTCACCTTAGAAAAAAAAATAGTAGATTGGATTTATTCTTAGTCGCCGCTTGCAATTCTTCTTCGATTCTCTTAGATACAATAATATCTAGTTCCTTGTTGGAGTTTGCTTGTAATTTGTAATTTCGCCACACTTCGTTAACTAACTTTTGTACATTTTGTACTTTCGTACTTGCATGAGATTTTTTAAAACTTTCAAACAATTTTTGGTATAACGTCTATGTGAAACGACATCTTATTTAAACATTAAACTTTGGCTAATGGAATCAATGGTAACACAAATGTTAACTTGCTTTACTATGCTTACAATACGTCTACTCGCTATAGTATCCAAACGAAACAATACACTGATAGAGGAACTTTAGACAAGTGAACACAGCGCAGTAATTCCCCTACTCGGTTCTAAAACGAGTAGGGGAATTACCGCGCGCTGTTCACTAAACGTATGCATCATTTGCGGGAATCCCCGAAAATGCGTTTCGTTTTCAAGCAAAGACAATGTGAGGGTTGCCACTCGTGTAAAAAAGTAAATAACTACCGATGATGTAATCATCATCTAGACTCCCCTACCCCCCATGTCATCCAAAATAAGTAAAGCAAAGACCCCCTGCCCCCCATAGTGCTCACGTAATACTTGAACGCCTCCTTTTTTAAAAAGTCGTTCGTTGTTTGCACATTCATAATTCACGCGAAAAGTTACTGCAGACTCCATGTTCTGGGTCAGCTATTCCATTACTGCGGTTATGTTCAAGATATTCTTTGTACTTTTTATACCATACATGCGATCTTTTACTTCCACACTGGCAGAGGGTATTTCTCCAGCCTAAGATGCGATTTAAATACATTTTCCCTTTTGCTTTTGTATGAGATTGAACTAGTTTTTAATACCCAGATCAGACTAAAAATCCTATATTTTTTGTCAAACAAAAATTTATTTTCCAATGTGATGATTATAATACATTATACTAGTGACAAACTAAATTTTGTTCAAATTAAATTTGAAATAACTTTTTAATCTTTGCATCAATTTCGTTAATTTTTTTGTCAAGTTGTAGGTAATTTCATCGTCGACATTATCGATTGGCGATCTAGCAAAAAAATTGAAAATGTTTGTTGTTATACAGGGTGTAACTAAAAGGTGCATTTCGCCCTAAATTTCTGAACACCCTGTGGAAACACTGGACCACTGAATAATATGTCCTTGTATGAAAATTTAAAGCCCCAACCTTTCTCAACATTTCTTTTTTTTATTCATGTCAATATCTCTATTATTGAAGAATATATGCTATCTCGAAGAAAATCATGTGAATCATAGCGATAAACAATTTAATTTAAAAATTTAACGAAATTGATGCAAATGTTAAAAAGTTATTTCAAATTTAATTTGAACAAAATTTTGTTTGTCCGGTTAGTTTTCCGTGGCAGCGTATAACTAGAAACTAAAAATAATCCATGTAACAGTTTTTTAATAATAATAAATATAAACGATCTAATTAAATATTACATTACATTTTCAAAAAAAATAGTAAGCGTGTCTAGATAAATATCTTTCATTACAAAAAGTCTATACTTATAGTTTACAGTACTTACCAGATTAATTTATTTTATGAATCTCATTTTTGTGTAGTGATAATATTTTATTTGTCAAAGTTGTATGCCACTTGCCACTTATAGTTGCTTCACCCACCTTATTCCTAAGTTTAGTTTTATTATATACTAAGTGACATATAAATCCGAACACCCAGTTTAAATGGTTTTATTTTAATAAAAGTTGGTGAATGTATTTATCTTACCGTAAATAACAAGTGACAAAATTTTCAGCCTTATCAGTTGGACATTCCGGTTTTTATACTGTTTTTTTTTAATTCACTAACGCTCTAAAAATGAATACTTCAGCCGCAGTAAAGAATCGGCGTTAGTGGATTTTGGTTCTTGACATCCTTTACGATCGGTTACGATGCCTAGAGTACGGAGACCTGTACGATTTCGTCAACTTAGTGAGTTTGATAGGGGCCGTATAGTGGGACTTCGGGAAGCTGGACTTCCTTTTCGGGCAATTGCAGTTAGAGTGCAAAGAAGTGTAGACACTGTGGTTAGGTGTTGTCAGGCATGGCTTCGAGAAGGCCGTACGCAAAGAGCAAGGGGCACTGGACGCCGCCGTAGAACAACAGACCGTGAAGATCGCCGCCTAAGATTATTGGCCTTAAGGGACCGTTTCTCCACTACCAGGTCCATTGCAAATGAATGGTTTGCAGAACACGGAAAACCTATTGGCATGCGAAGTGTTTACCGACGAATGAGAAGTTTTGGCTTGTTTTCATACCGGCCACACTGGGTCCTCCCTTTAACTCGAGAACACCGACGTAATCGCCTTGAGTGGTGCAGACAACGGTCACTCTGGGATCAGGAATGGAACAGTATTGTCTTTAGTGACGAGTCTCGATTTTGTTTAGGCATGCACGATGGTCGTGCCAGGGTTAGAAGGCGACGTGGTGAAAGGAGGAATCCACAGTTTTTTGTTGAAAGACATGTTTATCACACTCTTGGAGTTATGGTTTGGGGTGCTATAGCTTATGGTTCCAGGTCACCTTTAATCTTCATCAGAGGTAACATGAACGCGCAGAGTTATATCCACGAAGTTCTAGAACCCCATCTTTTACCCTATCTTGACACCCTGGCAGATCCAACTTCCAACAAGGTAATGCCCGACCACATGTTGCAAGAGTCACAATAGACTTCTTCCAACATAATGATCTCACATTGTAACCATGTCCACCAAGATCTCCCGACTTATCCCCAATTGAGCACGTGTGGGATATGATGGGTAGGAGATTACTCAATTTGCAACGTCCTCCTCAGACTCTAGAAGCACTTCGAGAGGAGTTGGTGGTTGCCTGGAATGAGATACCACAGGAGGACATTGACCACCTGATCAGAAGCATGCCTAGGCGCGTTGGAGAATGCGTAGCACATCAGGGTGCATCCACACATTATTAAAGGTCAAAGGGCTTTAAAGCAGTGCAATCATTTTGAAATTTTTATCATTTACTTATTATGCTTCATTAAATACTTATACAAAATTTTATTAAAATAAAACCATTTAAACTGGGTGTTCGGATTTATATGTCACTTAGTATAACTTGAGCTAGTAAAAACTCTTTCCGCTCATGCACTACGAAATGTTGTACCGCTGCGGCAATTCAGCAATTGTTGGAGTTTTTTTGTATCTGAAAGATTGTTAAAAATATTCAAAGTCGATGAAATTATAAAAATCACAAGAAATTGCAGTTTTTCAAAAAGTGTCTCACCAATCACCAGATTATTTATAAAATCATCAGATCTGGTGAAATTTCAATAGACCTGGTAACAATGGCACGTGGCAATATTATAGTCAGAGAAGTGTTGCCAAGTGGTTGATATTGTCGAAAGAGGAAACTTTCCTATATCGCAACATTGTTGAATGGGTGGGGACTATGCACTTATTGTGTTCTTTGGGAGCCCCACCTTAAATGTTTTCTATGTACACCGCCATATGCCAATTTGGTTACTACAAACTCACACAATTTCGTTGAATTATTCAGAATCGTTATTTAACAGAAGCTGATTTCCAGGCAAGCTTTCAAGACCAGCATCTGAAAGATATTTTTGATAGCAATATGTGGCATTACTTTTTGTATTCTACGTGAATCCGATGTGTTTTAGACAAAATACAGGGTCCGTCAGAAAGAACGCATGCTTTTTAAACGAGTAGTACAGTCAAAATATGGGTCTGACTGATGTTGTTTTATTGTGCATGCTCGTAGCTAACTTTTTTGTGACCAATATGGTCCTTTATCAGCGATTGCATTTTTATTATCTACTTTCAGTTGATCTTGCTGACGTCCACTCTTTCCACCTCCACGGATATACGTTCAAGGTGGTGGGCATGGGAACTCCTGCAGATCTCAACGTTACTGCTTGCAACTCAAACAACATAAGGGAATTTGACGAAGCTGGAAAACTGAAAAGGTGAGCGTATTATAACGCATGCATGAAATCTACGAGGGTTGTTCCAAGAATAAGGTTTCTAACGATGTAACTTTTCGAATCCTCACTATGTTTATATCAGCACACGGTCGCGATATTTCATACTTCGAAAAGACCGAGACACAAAACATCTATTAGAATGAAAGTGTCACGCTGCCGGGTTCACAATAAAAAATACTTTCAGGATTCTCATTACAGGTATGATTGTGTATTGACTTGTTTCAACTTTTGTGTTTATTGTGAGTGTAGTATACAGGGTGATTCAGTTTATTGTTGCATAACTTTAAGATTCGATAGAACTTTTAAAATTGATGCATAAAGTCTATATAAACATGGGTCGAAAAATGCGTGGCTTCCGTAATACAGGGTGTTTAAATTTACTTTCTAAAATAGTTTTTTTTAAATATTTCGAACAATATTTGATGTATAACAGTGAAAATTGGTATACAAGAGTTTTTTGGTATGACAAAACGAACCATGGGCATAGTTTTACTGTAGCCGCTAGAGGGCGCTATCTACTGTACCTGTAGTGTATTAAAATGACCGAAAATTTTTTCTTAGTGCAATTTTTTGTTTTTTGAATAATTAACTGATTCTTCGCACTTTTCAACATAAAAAAGCTCTCCTGTGAGTTTTAGTTATAGTTAGCCGTTTTTGAGATATTTCGATTTTTAAGGTTCGATGCATTTTTAATTGTTTATGATAAAATAACGTTAAAAAGTCAGTATCTCGATAATTTTTAGAAGTAGGCTGTGCCTGCAAATATTTTTGAAATTGACAGCAGAATGAGGATAAACGTCAATTAGTTGACAGTTAGTTTTGTTGTCTGTTGAAACCTGAAACGATTTTTTGCAATTGTGAATGCACGAAATTTAGTTTCTTTTACCTGTTTTTTTTTTGTAAGTTTTATAAAAATGCCATTTTTATTCTCCAATCAAGAGTTAGCGGATATTCATTTTGTGTAAGGCTTTGTAAATGGAAACGTAGCAGAAGCAGCCAGAGAGTACACACGGCACTAAAGATACAGTAGAGAGCGCCCTCTAGCGGCTACAGTAAAACTATGCCCATGGTTCGTTTTGTCGTACCAAAAAACCCTCGTATACTAATTTTCACTGTTATCCATCAAATACTCTTCGAAATATTTTAAAAAAACTATTTTAGAAAGTAAATCTAAACACCCTGTATTTCGGAAGCCACGCATTTTTCGACCCATGTTTATATGGACTTTATGGATTAACTTTAAAAGTTCTATCGAATCTTAAAGTTATGCAACAATAAACTGAAACACCCTGTATTAGTACTTTCATTTTATACCTTTTGTGTTTCGGTGTCTTTTATTAGAGAATTGAAGTAGAAAGACTGATATAGAAATAGAAAGTTGAGGATAATGGATAAATTGACAAAAATGTCAAAATTGCGAATTTCAAGCTTCTAAAGAAGTTCTAAAATAAAATAAATATTGGTGGAAGTTTGAAATACGTATGTCCAGAAATAAATGTTTGTTAAAATTCTATAGATGCAATCAACTCAAAATATGAGTTAATTTTATGGCCAAAAAATCCTCTTACGGATCCGCGATTATTTCTGACACATGCTATAAATAATTTAGTTTTATTTAGGATTGCGAAAAAACCCCACAGTCTTCGTATGGAAAACGACTTTTGGCTAAATTAGTTTGAATTGTGCAGGTAATTTTCAGCATAGTGATCAAAATTCCCAATGATGCTAAACCTCAAAAACCCCTCCCCGACTCCATACGGAGAAGTAAAACATAAGTCTAATCATATTAGCAAATTTTCCCGAAATTATTGTCAAAAAAAACTTTTTATTTGACAACAAATAATGAGAAAATGTATTTTTTTGGGATTCATTCGTAAGTGTTGACAACAACTAAAAAACTTTTCATTGAGATTTTTGGGTATTTATGAAACCTTATTTATACATAAGTCATTTACCTGCCATAGTAAAAAAATGCATAATTCAGATTTTGGCCGATGACACTATAATTTACATAAGTACTGAAAATATTCAGACTGGTATCTCTTCCATAAATGAAGACTTGAAACATATCTCAAAATGGTTAGCATCTAACAGACTAAAATTAAATACAAGTAAAACGAAAGCTATGTTAATCAGAACAAAACAATGTACAAATGTTCAATTGAACATTGATGGTGAAGATATTGAATTCATAGAAAATTTTAAATACCTAGGGGTTTTTGTTGACTCTCGATTAATTTTTGATCTTCATTATGAAAAAGTTATAAAGAAGATTAGTAGTAAAGTGGGATATTAATCGAGAGTTTCTTTATGTCTGAGTTCATAATTATAGCAGAAAAATTACCATTCTTTCAAATTTCTTGTACTGTTCGACTATTCTATATTTAGCAAATAATTCCATTTTTGAAAATGTTACAAAATAAGCGCATGAGAATAATACTGAATAAAGATGAATATGCTCCAATTAGACAAATGCTTAGCAAATTAAAATGGCTCAATGGCAAATTTTTTTTCAAATATCTTGTAATGATATTCATTTATAAAGTAAAAAATAGTATACTAAGTGACATATACATCCGAACACCCAGTTTAAATGGTTTTATTTTAATAAAATTTTGTGTAAGTACTTAATGAAGCATAATAAGTAAATGATAGTAATTTCAAAATGATTGCACTGCTTTAAAGCCCTTTGACCTGTAATAATGTGTGGATGCACCCTGATGTGCTACGCATTCTCCAACGCGCCTAGGCATGCTTCTGATCAGGTGGTCAATGTCCTCCTGTTGTATCTCATTCCAGGCAACCACCAACTCCTCTCGAAGTGCTTCTAGAATCTGAGGAGGACGTTGCAAATTGAGCAATCTCCTACCCATCATATCCCACACGTGCTCAATTGGGGATAAGTCGGGAGATCTTGGTGGACATGGTAACAATGTGACATCATTATGTTGAAAGAAGTCTATTGTGACTCTTGCAACATGTGGTCGGGCATTATCTTGTTGGAAAGTTGGATCTGCCAGGGTGTCAAGATAGGGTAAAAGATGGGGTTCTAGAACTTCGTGGATATAACGCTGCGCGTTCATGTTACCTCTGATGAAGATTAAAGGTGACCTGGAGCCATAAGCTATAGCACCCCAAACCATAACTCCAACAGTGTGATGAACATGTCTTTCAACAAAAAACTGTGGATTCCTCCTTTCATCATATCGCCTTCTAACCCTGGCACGACCATCGTGCATGCCTAAACAAAATCGAGACTCGTCACTAAAGACAATACTGTTCCATTCCTGATCCCAGAGTGACCGTTGTATGCACCACTCAAGGCGATTACGTCGGTGTTCTCGAGTTAAAGGGAGGACCCAGTGTGGCCGGTATGAAAACAAGCCAAAACTTCTCATTCGTCGGTAAACACTTCGCATGCCAATAGGTCTTCCGTGTTCTGCAAGCCATTCATTTGGAATGGACCTGGTAGTGGAGAAATGGTCCCTTAAGGCCAATAATCTTAGGCGGCGATCTTCACGGTCTGTTGTTCTACGGCGGCGTCCAGTGCCCCTTGCTCTTTGCGTACGGCCTTCTCGAAGCCATGCCTGACAACACCTAACTACAGTGTCTACACTTCTTTGCACTCTAACTGCAATTGCCCGAAAAGAAAGTCCAGCTTCCCGAAGTCCCACTATACGGCCCCTATCAAACTCACTAAGTTGACGAAATCGTACAGGTCTCCGTACTCTAGGCATCGTAACCGATCGTAAAGGATGTCAAGAACCAAAATCCGCCAACGTTGATTCTTTACTGCGGCTGAAATATTCATATTTAGAGCGTTAGTGAATTAAAAAAAAACAGTATAAAAACCGGAATGTCCAACTGATAAGGCTGAAAATTTTTACACTTGTTATTTACAGTAAGATAAATACATTCACCAACTTTTAGTAAAATAAAACCATTTAAACTGGGTGTTCGGATTTATATGTCACTTAGTATATATATTTCCAATTTGGTATAAATAATTGGAAATTCTCAAAAACTACTTGACCAATCTTCTCCAATTTTGTTGTGGTTATTTAGTAGTAAGAATCTTACGAATTTGAGTAATTTCAAATACCTGCGAGAAACCCTCGTCGCAATTCCAACAAGTGTAAAAACCTGCAGGTTGCCTCGGTTTTCGGCGATAACTTTTTTGCTTAGTTGGATCCTTTTACGTGTGGTCTCATTTTTTAGGTCTCATATATACCTAAAAATCTTATATGAGAGTTTTTGCGTTCCTACCAACACTTTCGATTGAATCACAAAAAAACACGTTTTTTTATTCTTTGTTGTCGAATCAAAAGTTTCCCTACAAAAAATGGTGTACCCATTTTATGCGTCCATGTTTTGGATACCCGCTCGAACAACCTGCAGCAATAAAACCAGACTTTACAATTTTTTCGCAAACCAGGGGTATTTTCGTTTAATATGATTAGACAATACGGTTGTTAGCATTTCTACCAGACTGGCCAATTGTGATCATGGATTTGTCGTTGACAGTATCGTTGAAGGTTATGGTCAAGGTCAGATAAATTATAAAAAGTGGTACATCCTACCTTTCACCAGCGAAATAACGAAGCGAAAAATCTTTAAGCATTTCGAAAACGCTACACTCAATGATCATGCTCAGGAAATAACAGGAGGAATTTATTACCGACCTCCTGTAGAACCCAGAAGCACCCCAATTATCGCGTATTGACAAGTGTAGGACATTATTATAGTTTGTTAATGTTGACAGTAAACGTACTATTGTTAAGGGTTATTCGGGACATTGATTTGACTTCGAAGAGTGATTTGGGCGCTTAAAGTCAAAACAAGATCCATTACCGCTCAATCTAAGCTACATCACTGCCAAATAGGAGATCCCACAAATAATAACTTGACCTTGAGCATTTTTCAACGTTATATTTCAAGTCGATAACATGATGACCATTGTCCAGTCAGGCGATAAGTATATGTACAGGGTGTTTCAAAACTAAGGGGTCAAACTTCTAGAAGTTATCAGTGTAATAGTAGAAAACATTTGAGTATAGGGACCTATATCCGGAAAAGTGTCACTGCTGCACTACGGCCCTAAGACTCATTAAAATTTAGAAAGACGATGAATTGCCTGCATAGGATTTAACGCATTTAATTTTTCCCTTTTGTACATGATATCATCACAACAATTGTTCAAAATGTCATCCTCCAACCAGAATACACCGATTTCAAGTGGTGCTGTAATTCGTCCAATTAAGTATTGCTCTGTTTTTACTGGAGTTTCGTAAACCAAAGACTTTACATGTACCCAAAGGAAAAAAACTAGCGACGCTAAATCGGGTGACCTAGGAGGCCAAGAAACTGCTCCACCTCGGTGCCCAAGCCGCTGAGCGAAATCCTCACGACTTGTACAGCAAAGTGAGCCGGCGCTCCATCATGCTGAAACCACATTTGGTGTCGAACGTTCAATGTAACATTTTCAAGAAGTTCGGGAAGAACTTCCTCCAAGAAACGCCGGTAAATAGGTCCTGTTAACCGTTCCGGTAGAAAGTATGGCCCAATCAAATAATCACCAACAATGCCTGCCCATACGTTGATAGACCAACGTTGCAGATGTTTTCTAGGAAAAATTGCATGTGGATTTTCTTTGTCCCAAACGTCGCTATTTCTACTATCAAAAATACTCATGTGAAAGAGGCTTCATCGGTCCATAAAACAATTTGGTTGTGCAGCGATTTGATGAAGAAGCTGCAGTCAATCCTTGAACTTTCTGGAAGTGGTGAGTATAAAGTTGTTGCTCGTGTAGCACCCGCCAGACGGAAGCGTTACTCGTATTCATATCCTCAGCAATGTGACGTGCGCTACTTGATGGTTCGTCGGCCGCTCGCTGAAGGACCTCTTCTTCAAATTCGACCGTTCTTACGGTTCGAGTAACACCAGTATCATGCATGTCGGTTTTAAACATGCCTGTCTCGGAGAGCCGCCGATGAATAGCAATAAACTTTTTGATGCTGTCGTTCAGGATCACGTTCTTCATACAACCGCGCTGCTGCTAGTGCATAGCAGCTTGTTGTTCCGTATGCCACATGCATATCCGCCAATTCTTGATTGGTTAAGTTTTCCATTAGCCACAATTTGTGCTAAAATCTTGCAAACTTCACGAATACGATAGCACGACCAAGGCGATACAGCTACAAAAAACAATCTCTGTTATCGTTTTTAAAGATAACAACACACAAGCGGGGTCTCTACAGTATATTCAGATAAGAGATAGACCGGACATAAACAAGACCACGTGATCATCGAACGCTGTAACATTCGGCAGGGACGTATTAAGAGTCACGCAGTACATATTTTAGATAGTAGATGCTGCTTTGCGTAACTTTGTAGTAAATTAGCACAATTCGATGTGTATACGATTGGTGATGGATATAGGATCATGTGGGGGTGGGGTAAGAAATATATAATGTTGTAAATATACATAAGGGTTTCAAAATTTTCGCTTCGATTTCCAGCTTCGGATGCCGCCTGATGTTTGGTGAAATACAGTCGAATATAATCTCAAAATGGCGTTTAAATTAGCCTAAATTAAAAATAATCGTATATCTCTTAAAATTGCTTTTAGAATATTGATTAGTATATTTTTTGATTTCTAGGTAAATATGTAACCAAATTAAAACGTTCAAAACGTAAAAAAATGTGCATGGTTGAACATTGTCAGAAAGTAGATTCTTGAATAGGTTTTGCCAAAATGGGTTCAAAAATGTCAATAATTAATTAAAAAATACAGTAGCTTTATAATTACTTATAACTTACCGAATTTGATGAACGACATCTTTTATTGGAAAGATGAGCTTGATGAGCTTTCATCATCGCTACTGCCTGAAGCACCAACGTCAATAATGAATGGCTCGACTTGTTCCTCTAAAATATTGTCCAGTTCCCACATTCTTTTTTCAACTTTGTCTTTCACGTGCTTAACACAGTTTTCCCATTTTTGCGCTGTTATTAATTCTAGTGCTTCTTTGAAAAGTCCTTTGAGGTCACAAAATTTGAAAGTTGTATTGTGCTTAGCTATATAATTTTTAACCTCTGCCCATATGAGCTCAATGGGATTGAGCTCGCAATGGTATGGAGGTAAACGGAGCACAGTTTTATTTTGACTTGCTGCCATTTCGTCAATGGCGTATTTTTGATATTCCGCCTTGTGATCCTTGACAATTCTTAATAATTGTACTTTCAGCATTGCTTCTTCAAAGTTGATATTTTTCGAGCGGAGCCAATTTTGAACATCAACTTTCCTTGAAGCCGTTGTTGGGACCTTCTCCATTCTTCGAGAATGATAAGGCGCATTATCCAACACAATTACTGCGCTTTCCTCTAAGTTCGGTAAAATTTTTGAAAACCACTGTTCAAACGATTCGCCATTCATTTCCTCGTGGTAATCTCCAGTTTTCTTAGACTCAAAGCACCACAGACCGTCAACAACAAATCCATCCTCACTGCCAATATGGCAGATAATGAGCCTTTTCCCTTTACCTGGAAATCGAAGTACTAACTGGTGTAGATTTATTTCAGTAAGCGAACCTTTTTCAAATGTTTTCATCACATTCAGCGAAAAAACATTGAGACATGAGTATCAGATTGCTATAATTGGGATTATTTAGTCATATTGAAAGAAAGAAGATTGAACGTCGTATGATTACTCAGCGCTTCACAATTTAATTTAAAGTTATAAACCTCTAAAAAATGAATGATCAGGAACCTGAAATACGCGCAAATATTAATATTAACAAATTATAACTTAAAAGCTTAAAGTATGAATTAAAATGAGTGGAAATATTAGGAACGGTACACAATATAAAACTTAGTAACTTTTTTTAAGTTTATAATATTCGACATATTTTAAGATTATATTAAAAAATTATTGAAATATCGAAAACACATAAAAAGTTCTAACAAATGAAAATGACAATAAAACATCCACGCATTTTATCGAAAGTTATAAAAGTTTTGTTACTTGTAATATGTTTTATCTGCCCCCTGGAATTAATGTTTAGAACCTTGTTCCCAAGGTTTGAAAAACATCCGATTGTTGTCTATTACTCGTATTTACCTGCTGGATTTTTTAATCCGGTGGACAGTCCATCTAGAAAGGCCCTCCTGGATGAAGTTACAGAATCATCAACCCATACTTTACTTGTAGTGTGTCCTGCGTTTACCCATGTTTCATCAAGGTAATAAATCTTCCTGTTTTGATTTCTATATTTCCCAATTTTTGTTAAATAATCCCTCCTCCATAGCACAATTTCTTCTCTATCCAGTACTAAACTATTACGACCCCGTTTTTTCCATTCGAAATTTAAATGCTTCAGTAACGCATGGAAAGTTGATCGTTTGAAATTTGGCAACGTTGTATCTCCATTTACCTCCTGCAGTACTTTATCTATAGTAGGTATTTCATTCCTAAAGAAGAATTCGTGCACTTTCCTCCTAATCGCATGCTTATCAGCTTCATCCAATGATTTAACAATACTTTTGCGATGTTTACTGGTCATTGGCTCAGAAAAGGTGTGATTTTTTTTGTATTGTCTTAACACATTAAACACTGATGCGCGACACACCCCAACTTTGTGAGAAACCTTCACAACAATTTCTTTGATGGTTGATGCCTCATTCTCCTCGCGCTCGATCTTATACGTATATATTCAAAATGACCTCTTTCATTTCTGCACTCAGGTGTCTTTTTTTAGAGCGTTTCCTAGGTGGACTACAGGAGTTTACAACTTCATCGGCAGTATCTGTACTGCTGGGCATTTTGCGCAAGCAGTTGATAACAATAACAATCAATAACAAGGTATAACAATAACAACGACAAACTCAACAACTTAATAAGATAACAAACGAAAACGTCCAAAGAAATATCAAATTGCAATGATGCACACGACATACGTAACACGTCTGAACCTGAATGTAACTCTGCCTTGATACGACTGCTCTGCCGCTCGGCATAGGTATTTAATTGCGAATTGACCAATGAGGGCTAATGTTTTACGTCGAGACGGCGGCGATAGCGTGAAAATCACCCGAACCTTTTGTTTACATCCGGTCTATCTCTTATCTGAATATACTGTATACTCAAATGTTTTCTACTGTTACACTGAAACCCCTACAAGTTTGATCCCATAGTTCTGAGACACCCTGTTACTTCTTCTGTAATAACATTACTTTAAAACGTACGTTATCCTGCCAATTTCAACAATAAACCCCACTTCCGGGTTCCGTAAAAGATCGAGGTAAGGTTTTTGCTTGATCTGTTTTAGTCAAAAGCCATTTTCCACAATAAAACTGCGTGCTTCTTTCCTGTCTAGGATTCATAAAATACTTGCTCTACAGGAATCTCATCGACCCCCCCGGCAAGGACACAGTGACAGTGCCGGACAAAGGATACGCCATCTTCCGATTCCGTGCCGACAATCCTGGCTTCTGGCTTTTTCACTGCCACTTTGACGTGCACATGCACATCGGCATGGCTGCGGTGCTCCAAGTGGGCGACTGGTGGGACGTACCCGCCGTTCCTTATGGGTTTCCCAGATGCGGTAGCTACGTTCCCGATATAAACATAGCGCTGCTACAATCCGCACCCAAAACGGAATAAGAAATATTCAGTGGAAAAAAGAAATAGACGTTTTATAAGAATTGTGCAAACCGAACAACAAAATATTACTGATTGAGCAACTCCTGGTGTTCCTTCGTGTAAAACATTTTTATTGAAGATTATTCATGTCCATGAGAATAAACAGGTGAAATGAGGAGAAACGAACATTGTTGCAGGCAAATCGTTTTAATTTGTTAAATGGCGGAGTCTCACTGATATACAGGGTGTTTCAGCTTATTGTCGCATAACTTTAAGAATCGATACAACTTTTAAAATTAATGCATAAAGTCTATATAAACATGGGTCGAAAAATGCGTGGCTTCCGAAATACAGGGTGTTCAAATTTACTTTCTAAAATAGTTTTTTTTTAAATATTTCGAACAATATTTGATGTATAATAGTGAAAATTGGTATACAAGGGTTTTTTGGGAGGACAAAACGAACCATGGGCATGGTTTTACTGTAACCGCTAGAGGGCGCTCTCTACTGTACCTGTAGTGTATTAAAATGACCGAAAAATTTTTCTTAGTGCAATTTTTTGCTTTTTGAATAAAAAAACTGATTCTCCGCACTTTTCATGCTTATCAGATCAGCAATCACTTGCGCATGTGCTGCATGGTGTTTTCTTGCCAAAACGCATATGCGTAATTTGCAGGTTTTGCAGAACAGAACCTTGCGAACCATCACTAACGCACCATGGTACGTCTCCGAGACCCTTAACAGAGACCTCGACATCCCTTACCTAAGAGACTACATCAAACATCAGGCGCAGTTACGCTATAGTCAAGCAACCCTCTGTTGTGTGAGTCAGTAGACTACACAGTCGAGCAAGTTCGCAAGCACACAAGACTGCGGCTCGCACTGTGATCAAAATCAAATCGTGCAATTCTAGATCCAACCAAAATTACGATTTTTGCCACACACAAATTCCTAAATTAATTTTAGGATTAATTTAAAATAACCGAATACCAGTTCGTTCTTTCCTTTCTTTCTTTCAGTTGATACGTTTGAAGGAACATAATATATTTGTAGTGAAACAGCTTCCTACAAAACAGCTTTAACAGATTTCTCTTTGCCGCCTTTACGAACGTTAACGGGAATACTATTTCAACGGATAACGTGAGATGCGTTCATACGACACAATTTCGCCGTTTTATGTGTTACTATAAGCGAAGAGATTGCTGGATATTTCAAGTCTGAGATTGTATATTATATGATGTCTATATCACAAGCTTGATTACCGGATAGAGCGGTTCTTGGTACTGTGTGGGATATAAATCGTTTTGATCAGAAAATATTGCGGTACAGCGAAGATGGTATTATTTTATAACCTTTATGTTATTTTCGGAAATAATTATACAAATTACCGATAACACTGGACAACAAATTTTAGTTTTTTAATTGTATCTTGTTAATTTTGGGGCGCTGAATCCAAAAATGACAATGAAATAAAAAAAATAGTTGCGGTTTAGAAAAAAACTTTTTATTTTTAAGGATATATTAAAAAAAGTAACAAGATTCATATACTTATAAAAATCACTATATGCGCTGTCTTTTTGCTGTTCTTTTATGGATCATGTCTGGACCATCTCTACCAAGAGTCCAACAGTAGTCTGCAAGCATGGAAGGATTCCACTTTCCCTGGTACCGTTTTCCATTGTTGAAATATCCTGATGAAAACGTTCGCCGTGCTCATCACTTACGGCTCCGCAATTGTCAGGAAAAAAGTCCAGGTGTGGGTGTAGGAAATGTATCTTAAGAGACATATTACACCCCATCTTTTGATACGATGACAGCATATCTTTGACAAAGGTTTTATAGTTGTCAGCTTTTCTATTTCCCAAGAAATTAGTGACCACCAGACGGAAATCATTCCAAGCAGTTTTTTCAATACCTGTTAAAGTATTAGAAAAATGGAACTCAACCGAGAACATTTTCGCGCCATAATTTATTACAGCTTTCAGAGACAATTATCGTAATAAGAATGTCTTGCTGAGTTACTGTCTGTTTTCGGCAACGAAGCGACACATCAGTCGACAATTTCCCGTTGGTATGGAGAACTCAAACGTGGACGGGTGAGTATCAAACTCATCATTGAAGATAGACATGTGACATATCGCGAGATTGAGGCGTCCTTGAAGATCTCAAAGACCTCAATTCAAAAAATTTTACATGAAGAATTAGGAATAAGAAAATTAGTTTATCGTTGGATACCCCACCTGTTGACTGAAGAACGTTGCCTAGCAACGGTGCAATCTGCCGCGTACCAATATGTTACGTCCAGGCTTCAACAATAGGTCATGTTACTGTCACATCCAAGAAGCAGGTCTGTTCGAACATTCAATCTAAAATTTTGTTTTCATTTTGATTAGAATTATGTATTTCAACTTTGATGCGACTTAGTGTTTTAATTTATTTTATAATTACCTTTGATTTCCACCGATGGTGACAAAATCAACACATCCTGAGTTCTTGTTACATTTTGCGACAGCGAGCGGTGTAAAAATAATTTAAAATGTATCATTTCTTTAATTATACCTTTCCAGTAAATAGTGGTACTGATATTTTCAATAAAATGCTCAGTAATTGCTGTCATATCAATCCAGATATTGTATCAGATTTGGTTCATGCTTCGAGTTTGACCCAAATCCTTCTTTTTGATTGGTGGAGGTTCCAGCGACAGTCGCGGGCTTTGTGGCGGCGCTCAAATGAAAAGATACGCTTTTGTAGCTAAATCTGACGATTTACGAAGTATTTCTTGATTTAATGTGGAAATTAGGGGCCACAAATCGTATACTTCTTTTTTAGTTTTACATGAAATCGATTATATTCGTTACTTGAAAAATGTCTTCCCATTCGTTGAGATTGTGCCATAAGAACAATTTTGCTTAGTAAAATCGGCAAGGCTATTATGAAAAAAACCTATAAAACGAAAAAAAAACTACAAGAAGATAGGTTATGCTCAAGTTGTAAACTACGATTTTTCCCGTTTTTTGTTTGTGTTTTAAAAAACTTTGAGGAGAATAACGCAAAATCACCACCTCGCCCACGTTGTATGTAATTATCGTTACCACGTATATGACTCGTAATTCGACAGTGTACAGAGAATATAACTGCGATATGTGGCGGTATGTAAGATGAAATAAAATATTCCACTCGTTACCTCCAAAAATAAGAAGAAGCTGTTTCGGTATCTAAGAACAAACCTGAATTCCAAAGTTTCATCACCTCAGATCCGCGACGCTGACGGTCATCTCCACATGGATGCCACCGAATCTGCCAACTTACTGGCAGAGTCCTTTAGTGATGACTTCATCGATGAGCCTAATGGAGACCTTCTACCGACCACTATCTGCCATAGGTGTCCCAACAGCCTTTGCGAAGTTGAGTTCCTGCCTGAAGATGTATTAGTGCACCTGCGAAATCTGAAGACCTCTTCCTCCCCTGGTAAAGATGGGATGACGGCTGCTGTACTTAAAAACTGCGCTTCAGCACTGGTCCTACCATTAAGCTTGATATTCACATCGTCTTTTAGATCTCATACCCTACCCTCATGCTGGGTTAGTGCTTCTGTTACCACTGTATTCAAAAAGGGCGACAAATCCTCCGCTAAAAATTATCGACCAATAAGTCTCGTTCCTATCGCCGCCAAAATAGCTGAAAGAATCATATTAGATAAGCTCCTGTCATTTGCTTTCGAAAATGACCTTATCCCTAAGAATCAGCATGGATTTCTCCCTGGTCGATCAATAATGACCAACCTTCTCCACTCTCTCAACGATTGGACTCAGTATCTGGACACAAAGACTCCTGTTGATATAATCTACTTAGATTTTGCTAGGGCTTTCGATCGCGTACCACATAAAAGGCTTCTGTTTAAGTTGGAATGTATGGGAATAAGAGGCGAGTTGTTACTGTGGATTAAGGGTTTTCTCACCGGCAGGACTTTCTCTGTGCGCGTCAGTGATAGCCAGTCTCACCTTCATCATGTAGCAAGTGGAGTTCCTCAAGGCTCTGTCTTGGGGCCAGTGCTGTTCCTTCTGTATACAAGTGACCTGCCCGCATTGATTTCCTCCACATGTTCAGCTTATGCCGACGACACCAAGATTTACAATACTGTCGTAAATTCTGCTATGCTTCAACGTGATCTTGATATTGTTTGTCAATGGTCAGTCAGTCGGCTTTTACCCTTAAACCTAACTAAGTGTTGTGTCCTTCACCTCGGGAAGACAAATCCGCGATTTACATACAAGATCTCTGACCACAACATCGAAGCAGTTTCCAGCCACACTGATCTGGGCGTTGTAGTCAACGATCGTCTTTCCTGGTCAGAGCATACTCACCACGTTACATCAATAGCCAAGAAACTTCTATACATGCTGGAGAGGTCTTTCAAAGGATGCGATGTCAACACTTGCGCCTACATTTACAAGGCATTCGTGAGCCCAATTCTTGAATTCGCTGGCCCGGTATGGGACACTGTGCTTCTGCGCGATAGAAATCTCGTCGAATCAGTACAGCGTCGGGCTACTCGTATCCCTTTTGGAGCACGAAGACCAAGCTATGAAGATCGCCTTGAATTATCCAACCTGACCTCATTCTCTGAGCGAAGACTTCGTGACGATCTTATAGTTACGTTCAGGATACTTCATGGTTTGATGGGCACCAACCTCATGCATCTATACCGTCTGTCGCGCAGCAATCTACGCGGACACAGCTTCAAACTGCATAAGGAGCCATTTAAAACAACAGTGCGACAGTGGTTTCTTCCCAACCGCATATTCAACACCTGGAATAGTTTACCTGAAAGTGTGTTTGGTGCTACTTCAGTTAATAGCTTCAAAGTGCAGTATGATAGCTGGAGGAGTGTACAAACTTTATAGCTATGAACTGTCTTTTTTTATTTTTTTCTATTTGATGTATTTGTGTTACGTGTCCGTACACTATATTTACTGCATGAGCTTATAGTACTGTGTACTCTGCTCATCTCAATTATCATAATAATAATAATAATAAAGTTAATTGCTTCACCAGCCAGGGATTTTCTTTTCTTATCTCTCTCAATTCAGCAAGCGTGCACTTGCAATTTCCAGAATGAATACAACAAAGTGTATTAGAGGTAAGACACCAATGGAATTATCATCAACACAGATTACTAACACGCAAATCCTCACTATGCATCGATGCACCGCCGTTTCTTTCCAGGTATAATGTACAAGCTGAGACCTACAATAACGCCATCTCTGAAGCAGATGTTACATCAAATCAGTGCTAAACATTGATAGTTGAAGCATCATTACGTTTAGGCAACACGTACAGCACAAAACGAGTTCATAACATGTGTACAACAGTTTGTGCTAAGCTAACAAACTTTAGATCGTTATGTCACAAAAAACCTACGAAATGTCAAAAAACGTCACTTTTCAAGATACGTACAACCCGTGTCGAGCGGGACTTTTTTCCGCATACCTAAAGTGAGCGACAGGTAAGTGAAGATGCGCTGTGTTTCCTGCCTATATGTGTCTTAAATCAATCACTTTCAAAAAGACTTTTTAAAAAACTGTACGTACAGACCGTTACAAAACTACAAGTTACAATGCATATGCCAATCTAGTCTAACCGGGGATATTGAAAATCAGGATATGGCAGCGAGGCCTATTTATACAGTCGTATTGCTGACTAAGTATTAAAGGAAACAGCAGAGACACTGGCTAAGCAACAGATTAGTGAAAAGTTATTATTACATGTAATGGGTGATTTTTTTGCTAGTATCTTCTTGGCAACACTGTTTTTCACAGATGACGCGTGAATCGTGTCTTGTGTCATTGTCAAACTTCTTCAGTTTGGTCTATTATTTAACCATGAATCGACTTACGAACGAACAACGCTTGCAAATTATTGAATTTTACTATCAAAATTCATGCTCGGTTAAGAGAGTGCATCGAGCACTGCGTCCAATTTATGGGCAATTTGGTTGGCCTACTGAGGGAGCTATTCGGAAGCTTGTGACTAAATTTCGAACCCAGTTTAGATTATTGGACATTAAACCACCAACACGCAGACGTAGAGTGAGGACTGAAGAAAATATTGCGGCTGTATCCGCCAGTGTTAGTGATGACCTTGAAATGTCGATTCTCCGCCGTTCGCAGCAATTGGGCCTTTGTTACTCCACTACGTGGAAAATTTTGCGACAGGATTTGGGTGTAAAACCTTATACGATACAGCTGGTGCAAGAATTGAAGCCACACGGCCTCCCGCAACGTTTCCAATTTGGTGAATGGGCAAAGTTGGAGGAAGATCCACATTTTTATCGAAAAATTGTGTTCAGCGACGAAGCTCATTTCTGGTTGAATGGGTACGTTAACGAGCAAAATTGCCGCATCTGGAGTGAAGACCAGCCAGAAGCATTGCAAGAGCTACCAACGCATCCCGAAAAAATCACTGTTTGTTGTGGATTATGGGCCGGTGGCATCATCGGGCCGTACTTCTTCAAAGACGACAATGGCCGGAAAGTAACTATGAATGGCGAGCGCTACCGTGCGATGATAACAAACTTTTTTTTGCACAAAATGGAAGAGCTGGACTTGGCTGACATTTGGTTTCAACAAGACGGCACCACATGCCACACTGCACACGAAACAATGGCCCTATTCAGAGACAGTTTATCTCACGTTTGGGGCCCGTCAATTGGCCGCCTAGATCGTGTGATTTAACGCCGTTGGACTATTTATTGTGTGGCCATGTTAAGGCTAATGTCTACAGGGATAAACCAGCAACGATTGACGCACTGGAAGTCAATATTGAAGCATTTATTCGTGAGATACCGGCCGATATGTTGGAGAGAGTGTGCCAAAATTGGACCTTGCGCATGGGCCATCTAAAGCGGAGCCGCGGCCAACATTTACATGAAATAATCTTTAAACATTAAACTATATCGACCGTTCTATTGACTCAAATAAAGATTTAATCGTTTTTTAAAATTTTTTGTGTTTTTTTTTAAATCAAATCCTATACCTCTTAAAAAATCAGTTATATCTTCGAATGTCCCTCTTAGTGCAAATTAGGTACAGTCTTTAGTCGGCTCACGTGCGGGTCCGCGTATCTCTCTTAATAAGATGCGACCTTTACATCAATCAAAACGCGGGCAATTTGTGTAATAGCATAATCTTTCGATCATGTTAAACGCCACCACTCAAATGGGTTATTATTACAACGACGGTTGAGTGTAATCGCTTTTGAACAAATTAGATTAATGCTTGCGAACATCAATCAATTACTGGAACAAGACGAATGTTATCGCTACAATCTCAGTGGGAAATTATATCGATACACAGGCAGGCACCCCAGGTCGTTAACGGAATGTTAGTTCGCTCCTGAGACATAAATCACGGTAAATGAACCGTATGATTAAGATTATGTACTAATTCTTCCACTCCAAGTCAAGTTGGCTTTAGAGACCTATATCGGGTGTTTCAAACTCGGCCCTCGCCATGGGGATCTAAGGGTTGTTAAGAGATATCAGCTGCAAGCAAAACTGGAGGAGTGTATGGTGGTTCTCCGCAATGCCTCCCAGTAAGAGGAAGCAGATATTGAACAAACTTCTTCACGACATGCATTAATGCACGTGGTCCGATGGTATAAAAAGACTTACCGCTGAAGATTAAAATTCCTTAAGAAAGTGGAAAGGAAACCACCCAAACCAAGACAACTGAACAAACTGGTATTCGGCACCTAATATCCCAGAATCCGGAGATTAAGCAAATGGCGTTCACACCACGAAACACCTAACTTTATAAAATAAGGTTCCATAAGCGGCCTTGAAGAAGATATGTTCGACAGGAAACCAAGTAACGTAACTGAATCCCTGAGAAAGAAAGATACAATACGTGATAAATTATACAATCAATAAACTATGAAATTTACCGAAAGAAAATCATTGAAAAGGGTTTGGCCTAGGTATGGGTAACCTTCCTTTAATAAAGATTCAAATTACTAGTAAGTGATCGAAATAGCAAAAAAGTTGCATATTTAGATAATAAACAAAGTGGTTTTAATTTTCTTTTTCTACAGGTACTTCCTACTTTATTAATAGGCTCATGCCTGTTTTACTTCGGGTTTTAGCCTCAGTTGATGTTGTCTAAACACATATTCCTCGGTCGTCCCATTGATCTTCTTCCATTTGGCGATTTGTCTCTTGCTATTCGTACTGTTCTATTTTCTGTCATTCTTTCTATGTGTTGATTCCATTCTGTTTTTCTTCTTTTGGTCCACAGGTTTATTCCTCTATACCACACCTCACTCATATTTCCTCACTTCTTACTCTGTCTGTTAGAGTTTGGTATGTTATTTTTCGTAAGACTCATTTCTGCTGTTTCCAATAATCTTTGTTTTCACCGTATCCGCTCTTGTTTCCGCTGTGTACGTCATTATCGGTCTTATTGTTGATTTATATATCCTAGTTTTCGTTTCCGTTGTGAAGTATTTGTTTCTCGAGATTGTATTGTTGAGACATCCTGCTGCTCTGTTCGTCATGTTCACTTGTTTTTTACTTCTTCCACTTTTCCATAGCTTGACAGTTTGATTCCCAAGTATTCCGTTTCCATCACTTGTTCTATTAATTCTTTAATTAATCTTTGTAGGTCATCTTCATTTTCGGCTATTATTATGGCGTCGTCGGCGTAGCATATTATCTGCATTTCCTTTTCTCTTTCTTTATGATCTCATCCATTATCAGATTAAATATTAGTGGTCTCAGCGAATCTCCTTGTCTAATGCCAGTTTCATACTTGATAGGTTGCGAGAGTTTTCCTCTACATCTTACCATAGTTACGTTACCTTTATATATATTCTCAATAGTTTTTACTAAATCCAGTGGTACTCCTCTGTCATATAATAAATGTATCGCGTCCGGAATTCTCACTCTGCCAAACGCTTTCTTCAAATCTATATATGCTGATTTGTTGTATTCCAGCGACTTTCCTTTTATTTGTCTTATTACAAAAACTGCATCCGTGCATGATCTTTCTGTCCGGATTCCTTGCTGTTCCTCTTGCAGAGTTATTCGTTCGTTTATTTTTGTCGCTATTATTCTTGTTGTCAATTTGAGTGTTGCATTTAACAGATTTATTGCTCGATAATTATTGGGGTCTTTCTTATCTCCTTTCTTGAAGAACACCAGCATGATCGCTCCGCTCCATTCATCTGGTATTCTGTTCGTGGTGATTACTTTTTGAATAAGGAAATGCTGTTGTTGTACAAGGTAATCACCTCCGTATTTTAAGAGTTCATTTGGTATTTGATCTTCTCCTGGTGACTTTCTATTTTTTAATTTATTTTGTCCCTGTTTCACATCTTCTTGGGTTTTAATTTTTTCCTGCTATATCGTGTAACTTTTTTTTATATCATGTCGATAATATACACAACACAACAACAAAGAAAACAGAAATGGAAGGAACGAAATTCTTAGCACGTCCTATATGAATACTTGAAAGGTCGGTAACGCATTGTATATCTATACATCTGCAAATAATAAATATATTAGATGCCACCCAAATTCTACCCTTTCCTGCTAAACAGCCTAATGCTTTCGCAGCACAGCCTGTGGAAACCAGTAGGATTATCACAATGCCTGTTTTGTGTTTATGTTCGATATATCATTTCATTGTGAAGCTTCAATAGCGCCAAAAGCCATACGACATTATTGAATTAATGTTTTGCAGCATAAATAGCACAGAGTAATCCTCCCATGAAATATTCGTTATTCCCCTTTGACATAAATGTTTATATTGAATTGGTTTTATGGCCATGTATTCAATGCGGTGATATTCGTTCCGCTTAAAGAGCAGATGTACGATTTGGGTTTACGTGTTTGATCCATGTAGGAACGCTGCACATGTCATGATGATTTGGTGTTGCGCATAGGGTGACTGGGTATTATGCAAGAAATCGAAAAAAAAGTGAAAAAAAACAACAAAATGTCATCTTGCCGACTACGAGCCCCTTCCCACTTCAGTTGGCCCAAGTATTGAAATCTTAGGTTTATTCTTATCAAACGCAAATAATAAAAATGTAGCAGGGTGTTCAAGCACAAATGGAGTGCGTTTGGTTCAAAGGTAAATATATTGAATTGAGAATCATGACTTTGATATGTTACTGAAGATATATTTATTTGAATTGAGGCTACATTTGAAACAATGAAACCACCTCACTTCAAGTACATGTGGTCTCGAATCAGTGTCAAAACTGCATAGACACGTGCTATTGTGTGAGGTCTAATAAGCCTTTTACGAGTACTATTGGGTCATTAATATATCGGATACCTTTTTGAGATCACTTACCAAATACATGAAAAGGCTAACGTTATTGATCTTAAATTACCAAGGAAATTATCAGGTCTTTACAAACCGAAGTGTTATCTCCAAAATTTCAAACCCAGTAGTTAAGTCGCTTCCCTTCAAGTTCCGAAAAGTTGCAAACACTCAGGCAAAAGTTTACAGTCGAGATCAATATCCTGTTTCATGATGAATAAAAGCGTTTATTGGAAAGTTCATGGATAGAACGGCGAAAATACCCTCTGGCGAGGCTAAAGTTGACGCTGGAGAGCCTCCCTCTCAAAACGCCAACACTTATTTTGCGACGCAAATCAATGCCGTCCGTCAGACTAGACAGCCTCAGAGTGCACCACAGTTTCTGACTAGATTTGTTGTAAAACCTTGTCTACACGGTGGATGTTATTATAGGTGCCGGTGGTTGGAATTACATTGATCAAAGTAAGAGGACCACAAAAGCGGAATTGATCTACTAATATAGCCGAGGCCATACGATGAGGTAGATAGAAACACATCAATTGACACACTCATGCAAATAATGACATAGGTAGCAGATCTGCAACCTCCGTGATGTCGGATAGAATGGAATACAAAACATTGTCTCTGATTCGAAAAGCTTTCCTATTATTATTGATTGTCGTATTCTTCGTTAAGATAGTCAAGCATATACTGAATACCGGCGTCAATAAAGAAAATCTAAAAGATACTAGCGCGAGTGTAGACGAACCTAATACTCTAATTCTTCTGTCTCACAGATACCGTTTATATAATAATAATATTTTATTCACTCAATGTACAAAGATAACAAAAAATATGAGTAAATAAATATAAAATCAAAACAGGCCCAATAGAAGGCATCGCCTGTACATGGACCAATAAATTTAAGTTGAAACTGTAGAATGCAAATGACAAAAAGGACAAAAATTAGCTACAGTAGATTATGTATTTAGTTGATGTTCGTATTTATGAGTTTATGAATTTCAGTCCTAGATATAGAATGTAGCCACTTTTTTAAATTTCTTTTGAAACAATTTCCGAAACGTAAATCTTTTAAGTCTTTAGGTATAATTTCATAAAATTTAGGCGCTAAATAGAGATATGATCGTTGCATTATAGATTTATGCGGTTGAGGAACTACTGTGCCACGAATTTTGTACCTGGTATAATGACTAGGTTTAATTTTTTGGTCGGTGTTTACAAATTTATGGTAGTGAGTGATACTGTGTAAGAAATAAGGCTATCTTATATCATACATTCGAACATCTGCGTATAATTTTTCAGTGGGATAAAGTTTCGGTTTTTTAAATATCATTTTTAGAATACTTTTTGAAAATCATCTAAATTATAGATATGTGAGGAACATGCAGCTCCCCATGCTAATATACCATATGTGAGATGAGGCTCAATCAGTGCATGGTATAATGTTCGAAGATATTTTTCTGTCAATATATTCCCAAGGTATTTAATTTTGTAGGATACAAATCTAACTTTCTTTAAAATATAATTGACATGGATGTCCCATCGTAAGTGAGGATCCAAGACCACTCCAAGGTATTTTATGTTCGGCACTCTATTAATTTGCATTTTTTGATCATTAATGTTGAAGGAGAAATTTGTGTAATTTGGCAGATGTCTAGCATAAGATCCAAATGGTAAAAAATGTGTTTTAGAGTAGTTAATGCTTAATTTCCTACTGTTAAACCACCGAGTAATTTTGGTAAAATCATTTTCAATTACATTTTTCAGATCAGACCAGTCAGTGCCTTCATATAATATTGCAGTATCATCTGCAAAACTAGTTATGTTGCCAACACAATTAATTTGGAAAATATCATTTAAATATATATTGAATAACAGCGGACCTGAGACAGTTCCTTGTGGGACACCACACTTAATATACATTTCTTTACTAAATGATCCTGATATCTGCACAGATTGTGGGCGATTTGACAAATAACTTTCGATCAGTGAGTACGCGTTTCCTCTGAAACCAATTCTCTCCAATGCTTCTAATAATAATTTGTGATTAACTGTGTCGAAAGCTTTCTTTAAATCAACAAAAATGCAGATTGAAGGGATTCTGTTATCAATATTTTGATGTATTTGATTTACAATTTTAATTATTGCGTCCGATGTAGCCTTCCCTTCTGTAAATCCATATTGATTTTCACTTAAAATTTTGAATTTTGTGAGGTATCGAATCATTCTAGTAGATAAAACTTTTTCAAAAACCTTTGCTACACTGGATATTATTGATATTGGTCTATAGTTGTTAACATCTGTTTTTGTTCCTGATTTATGTATCGGTATTATATTACCTTTTTTAAAATTGAGGGATATATGCCAGATTCAAAGCATTTGTTGATTAGGTAAGTGAGTAGTTCTGTTATGTCCTCGGCTATAATTTTCAAATGCTCGCTTTTAATACCATCGAACCCAGGACTTTTCCGATTTTTTAAGGACAGAACAGTGGTGTATACTTCACATTGCTCGACTTTATCCAAAATAAATGAGTTCAAAGTTCTTTTTGGAGGCTGAGTATTTTGTACATTTGCTTGTATATTACTTGCTAAATTTTCGCCTATGTCAGTAAAGAATTGTACAAATTCATCGCATATCTGTTGAGTATTTTTTAATACTGTTCCCGATGTTGTATTTAACTCAGTGACACACTCTTTAACTTTTGTTTTCCCAGTAATCTCATCAATAGTTGTCCAAAGCCGCTTAGGATCATTTAAGTTATTGTTCAATTTATTAAAGTAAAGTTTTCGTTTGGTTTGCCTTACAAGCTCTATAAATTTATTTTTATATTGGTTGTAGCAGTCGGTATTCTCTGTAGTTGGCGTTAGTTTCATTACATTATATAGTCTTTCTTTTTCTATTGCCGATGTTATTAATCCTTTGGTAATCCAGGCATTTCTGCTTTTCTCTTTGTGACTAATTATTACTTTATTGGTACTAATATCTATTAGTTTTTTTATTGTCTCTATGAACAGTCCCGTTGCTTTGTCTATATTATTTATAGAGTATAATTGTTCCCAGGATTCTTGTTTGACATTTGATATTAGTTTTGAATTGTCGACAAAAAATTTGTAATTTTCCTGGTTGTTACTAACGGTAGGGATGTTAGAATGTTTTTCATTTGAAGATATCAGTAAAATAGTGGAGAAGTGGTCAGTAATATCGCTTTCTAGGATTATTGGTATACAAGTAATTTTGTTGGATAGGTCTTTCACAAAGCAGTGATCTATACATATATACCTTTTAGATCGCTTTTTGGACCCCAGAATACAGTACAAGGTTGGCTATCTTTAGGTATAATACGTTAATCAATGTTATTCTATAGCGATTCACACTGGCCCTTCCAGCTGTCGTCACGCAATTGTGGAGTAAACTAATCCTTATGGGGAGGTTCATGCCCTTGCTCTTGATATCACGAAAGCGTTCGTTCAGCTGTGGCAGCTGCCCTCTTATGCAAACTTTCATCCTATGGACTCTTAGAGAAGCTTAGCAGATGGGTGGCTGACTCTTTTACACCGCCGGGCCTTCGGCGATCTAGCGCCCTTCTACCGCTACACCAACGGGCTTTGCTCCTCAGAGCGGTTTCCAGTATTGTCGCCGCGCAATGTGCCGATCAGCCAGACCCGCATCCGAACCGTGTCGAACTTCTTACATCCAAAACTGGCCAATACGACCGCTCCTTTGTTCTGGAAGTGGAACAATCCACAAGAGGAGGTGTTTCCAGTTCTACTAACCTTAGACAGTTCCAAAACCGTATTAACGAAATTTCTTTGCGGTCCGCATAGCAGTCGCGGTGTCCTGGCATTTAGGCTTCTGCCTGCGCGGCTGCTTCGTTTCAAAGAAACTACCTCCTTTATGCGTATAATCAAAAATCATACGCAAAAACGGACAACTGTTCAACCTTTACGGGGTAGGGTGACAAAATTGACTCATCGTTCTTCTAAGCACTTGAGCCCGAGTGACCTTGGCCTTATTCCACAAAGGGCTTTACGCATTCGTTCAAGCATTTGAATGCTATAAAAATTTCATCTGGAAAAATTTGTCCAACAGAACAAGAGATATGGTTTATATACATACAGGGTGACTTTGAAGTGGAGTCATTAATTTTCAGATAATGATTGTAGAAGGAAGATAAACCAAAATATGTGTGTAAAAATAAAAAAAAAATAA